TCAGCGTGGCTCCGGCGCAGAGGCTGGAAATGGAGTGTGTGTGTCATGCAGTTAGGTTTAAATTACGACTGTTCGGCTTTTGCACTTGTGCTGTGTTAGCCAGGTGCCTGGGAGTAACATCCAAGTAACAAGGAGTGCCTGGACTCTTCTGCCTGTGAGCGGTTGTGGTCATTTTGTGGGGTGCAGGATGTCACAGGGCCGTTCTGGATGTAACTGCTGAATGTGTATGGAGGTTCACACCCATTCTTGCACTCTCTTTTATCGGTGATGAGTTGGTGATTGATGAAGATGTGGCAGCCTAAAGGGGCTTTAGATATATCCCCTGTGCCTGTTTGGTAAGGCTCCTGAGGAAGACATAGTCTGGTTTTGTGCCTGTTGACTGATATGTGTGCCTTGCTTTCTAATTTCTCACGGTATACAGACAAGTAACTATTTCTCTGTTTCTTGTGGGGGAGGAGGGACTGTTTTCCTTTTAGTGGAAGAACTAAAGCCCTTTAAGAAAGGGTGATACAGTCCATAGCTAATGTGTGGTGCAGCACAGAAAATGGAGGTGTTTCTGGAGCTAACGGCAAGCACAGTACTCTTCTTCTCATTCTGTTTTAATTAGGCTAGTGCTGCTGTCACAGAAGCAATTAGTGTGGTTTTTTTCCCTTGAAGCTAAAGTTTATTTTTCCAGAATCATATGATGTATGTAAGTTCAGGGACTTCCTTGTTTCTTTGTCTTGCCAGGCCTTAGCCAGTTGCTGAGAGATGAACATAGTTTCCTCTAAAACTTCTGGTTGACTTAATAATGGCATTTTTAATGTGGTAGTGTGGGGGGGGAGAATAGCCCTGTTGTATAGTCAACATTTAAAGAGCAAGTTATCAGTTGCCGTAGGTACTGAAGAAACAATTGCAAATTTACCTGAAGATATGCTCTTGAAGGCATTTTCAATGAACTCTGGTGTTCAAATCATCTGTTGTTTGAGTAATATTGATGAAATGCACAACAGCAGAAAATACCATGACTTACAGGGGAGAGGGATGCGGAAGCATCCCAGACTAAGACTGAACCTAACATAAAGAACCTGATAAAAGTTTCTCTTGAAACTGTGTGAATGATGTCTCTCTGTTTTCTTTCTTAAGGATTTGTGAATATCAGGGGAAACTCTGAGCTAAAGGTGCTTACTATACAAAGCAACAAGCAGAAGTCCACTGAGAAGTCATATGATTGACTCACAGATACCATCTTTTGTGCATTTGTTGTAGGAGTGGTCAAACCTTGCCACATGAGGTGCATGCAGCTTGCTAGCACTTCTAGTGTCACTTGTCAACCCTGTGGATTTTCTCTGGACCGCATAGATTTTTTAGTGTGGCTTCTTAGAACTTGGAAGAAAATGTTCTAGACAGCAAAATATGCCTGTAGATTATAGGGAGCAGTTGTGGAAACTTGAAACTGGTATTTCATGAAGGAGCATGTATCAGCTGCTAAGCAGGAAGTAGACTCATACAGGATTTTTGTCCTTGGCACGGCTAAAAGTCAGGTGTCGCTCCTAGCTGTCACTCCTAGGTTCCAGCAGCTCCCCATATTACTGCTCTGTCAAAACATTTCACTAAGTCTTGCTTAAACAAAGATGAAGGTGGTGAGCGCCTTAGCCTAGCAGGTTAGAAGTGCAGGCTTAGTGAGGTGGAGTGGAAGAAATCAGGTGTGTATTGAGGTTAAAGAATATGGGCTGTGGGAAAGTATGTCTCTTGGGCTGTATGAAGGCTTTGGTACACAGCAAGTAGGCTTAACAAGTATGGATTCCCTTAATAGAGAATGCGGTTTGGGTTTTTTTGTTTGTTTGTTTTTCATTATTGTAGCTACTCTTGAAAACAAGGAAGTTTGGAGATGTTATGACAACAAATAAACCACGGTTTGGGTTGCTTCCCAGGTAACTTGCACAAGGCACTGTATTGTAGCGTGGACGGGAAGGAAGCAGTGTGCCACCAAACTTAATCTTTCAGTCTTGTTTTTGCTTGCAGTTCATTCTGTTTCTTATTCTGAAGTTAACCTGGCCAAACAACAACTCTGTCTTAGGCTTTCTCAAGTGTGCCTGTCTTCAGTTTTCTTGTTACGAGGGCTGTGGAAGTCACAGCATTGACAGCTCTTCTCTTGAGCTGAAGTTAAAACTTCTTTCTTAACTAGGAGCTCTGAATTGCTCTCTGGGGAGATGCTGATCTCTTGTCAATGACTAGGCAGGGGACATGGGCTCCTAACTGTGGCACTCTTGACCTGTGCTGATAGCAGATGTCTGTGGTAGGTGGGGTGAATGTCCCCCCTCTAGCATCTAATGAGACACCTCCTGTTCAGTTGACTGAAGATGTTCTGTTTCACCACCCTGTGTATAATGCGTGTTGCTGAACTCTTTCTAGGGCACATGAAATGGCCGCAGATGACAAACGGTCTCCAACACTGGACTCTACCAGTGATCTACCTCATTCTCCTAGTAGTCCGTCTCATCTCACTCACTTCAAACCCCTGACTCCTGACCAGGATGAGCCTCCTTTTAAATCAGCCTACAGCTCTTTTGTAAATCTCTTCCGTTTCAGCAAAGGTAAATGTTTGGGGGAAAGTGTGGATTGTGCATGCTGTCTGTTTTATTGATGCCCTCTGCTGCCATAAACTTGTAAAGACATGTCTGAATATAAGATCATAATGTCATATGGCTAGCCAAAGGGATGGTGAGGTGATTGTTTTGTGTGGGATATTGCATCTTGCTTTTGGGTGACACAGTAGAGCTTTGCTGTGGGAGAAGACAGCGAACCTCTTGCAGCTAGAAATCTGTGGCTGCCCATGAAGGTCAGAGACAAGCCAGTTAGCAGATAGCATTGTATAGCTGCTTAGCTGGGCATCTAGATTCCTTTGCCTGTATGAAGTTTTTGGGGCTAAAAGCAGGAGTAACCCTCTGCCAGCCTATATGAGCAAAATGTGTGCCTGTCCTCCCAATGCAAGTCCTTACTCCAGGCTTCCTCCACTCACCTTCCTGTGCATTTTGTACCTTCAGTTGGGTGGCCACTGAGCTGCAATGAAGCCGTATATTACAGGAAGTCTACCTGTAATTTGCATGGCTTAGGTGTTCCCCATCAAGAGGTCTGAAGTGTTGTGAAAGTTTTGTATATTAAAAAGTACTACTTGATTTTGACCTTTGTGCTGTATGTATCATGAAACACACACATATTCTCAGTAGATCAGCTCTTAAAGAACTATGTGATTTTTTCTTTTTTACTTCAAAGAAGTATACTGCAAAGAGTGGTGAATGAATGCACCTTGGTTTTCTACAAAAACTGTGTGTCTCTTTGCTGGAGATGGAAGACTGGTCAACTGCCTTTGTTTAGTCTGTTCATTATCCAGCTCTGCAAAGCATACTTCTGCTATGTCTGGGCTAGAGAAAAAGTGCCAAGATAGCTTTTTCATAAGCAAACTGATCTGTTCAGACTGTTCTTATGCAGAATGAAAAATAATTACTTGATATGACTGCTATTAGTTTGCATAGTAGAATATCACTGGTCATTATTAATTTATTGAAAGTAACATAAGATGTGGTCAGTATTGACTTCACTTGTTTGTTTCTGACAAATGTAGCTGGAGTCAGCAAAGTATTGTGTTGAAAGAATGCGAAAACAACCTTGAAACAGCACATGAAATGAGCTTGTTACTGGAATCAGTAGGAACCTGTCTATACTTGATCCTCTGTTGGAAGAGGGTGGTTTATTAAAGGCTGCAGTAATTTTAATGTGACCTCAGTACTGGCTTCTAACATAACTGAAAAACTCTTTTCGGGGCAGAAGCTGATAATCAAGCGTAGCTATTCCACATAACAAGAATAATTCATGCTTACTGGTTTGGTTTTTTTAAGACACTTTTCACATTAGGGGTATTTCTGAAATAGCCTGAGCCTTGACAGACAAGTTCTACGTACTGGCCTTTTTCCATGTTTTGTATGCTGCTTTTCAGACTAAAAATTTGTGCTTTGTTGTGTATAATCATGATCCAAATGCACTATTTATGAGAGTTTTTTTACCCTTAGTTTTGCATACATTACTGGCTTTCTTTATCATGTCTGAACAGTTGGTTTCTTGCTTTTTGTCAACTCCAGATGATGGCAGGCTTTCGTCCCCAGCAGAGAGAGCAGAGGCAGGACAGAGTGATCCACAAGCGTTGAGTGGTGGCTGGTCCAGTCCTCAGCATCCCACCAGGGCTCAGTCTCTGAGGTCACCGATTCCTTACAAAAAACAACTGACTGGTGAGCTGCAAAGAAGATCTTCTACAACCCTGGGTAATTTCAGCTCTCTGTGCTACAAGGGAATGTTGTACTAGCCAGTCTGGGATACTTCAGAGTGAGGTGGAAGGAGGTGAACAAAGGTTTGTTGACTGTCTAGATTGATAGCAGAGTTTGGTGTCAGGCTGCACGGCTTCTGTTAGTGAGGTTCCCTCCACCCTTCCTAGTGTTCTAGCAATACGCTGTTGTTTGTGCTGTGCTGTTTCAATTACAAAATAGTCTGGAACAAAAGAGGCTGCCAAAACACATCCAAAATCTTAAAGTCACTGGAACCTTGATCCTGCAAATTTCTGCTTTGTTTTGAGAGACTTCAGTTTCTTAACAACCACATGCAAACTATAACTTCAGAGCTCAGTCTGAATGGGGTTGATGTTTGTGTCTTTGTCTTCAAGGGAGTTATAAATGCAGTTTTTTGCTTGTAGCTACTTTGAGGAGAATTGAATAGGAACTTGTGTCTGAATGGTTTTTTTATTCCTAACGTTGGAACTGTTGCCTGATGCCATACTGAATCTCTTCTAGCTGGAATGGAAATTGAATGTGATTTCAAACATGCAACTGTGTAATAGCTTTATGAAGATCTGGAGGAGGTAGTAAGTAGATTGCAGGGGTCCTTCTTGAGCCTGGTTACTGTCAGCCATTTGTGATAGCCTTGAGCAAACTGCTAAGCTGCGTAAAAATCCTGTGCAAGACAGTATTTCCAAGAGTATGGTATGTAGTGCAAACAAATTGGATCTTAAACGTTGTTAATATATATGGGATTTTTAGAAAGATGTCTAATCTTGGTAACCAGGCAAAAGTCTGGTACAGATAACTAGCGTTTTCATCTCTCCAAGTAATTTGCATGCTGTCTTAATTGAACGTATTCATCATCTTCCTCCTTGCCCTTTACTACTGTTTATGCTATTCAGTTGTACCTGTCGCAACAAAGCAATTAAGGTTGGTTGGTTTGTTTTTAAAAAGCTTTTTCTCAAATGCCCCAAGTACACCAGTGTGTTCTTGGCTGATTTGCCAATTTACTTCACTTCATTCTTAGTTACCTCTTGTAAATCACTTGGAAATTATCTGGGTGTTACAAGTTAGAAACCTTTAGGTGAGGTAGGTTGTTCAGTACTCAGACGGCAGAAATAATCTTGCTGTTTGACTTCCACTGGGAGTAGGCAGCCAGGGAAGTGAGACTTAGTCTAAAGTGTGTGGGAAGATCTGTTGCTGCGTTATTCCATCTCCTTCTCAGGACCTCCATTCATGTCCCTGGGTCTGGATGAAAGTATGCTTAGAAAAATACTGATGAATCAGCCTGGAAAGAAGTAAAGTTAGACCAAGCAGGAGTTGCTGGCTTTTTGAAGAGATTTCTGTGATATTGGGTGCCGAGTAGACTGATTCACTGTTGAGTATCTTCCCCCAAATAACCTTGGTGCTGTAACAAGCACGAACTCTGTGTAATGCAGGTAAAAGTGTACCAGATTGGTCAGGAAGTTTAGGGGAGTTTTTCAGATCATCTCACTGTATTTGAAGAGGGGAAAAATACTTGCATCTTCCCTCTCCAAAAATCAGGCATTGCTTTTTTTGAAGCAAACTTTAGAAAATTAATTTTCATGCCTTCTTTTGTCTTAAAAGGTGCTGAATAATCAGGTCTTTGAGGATTTCTAAACGTTGAGCGGAGGAAAATTTTCCTTCTGCCATTGCATCTGATGCTGGGCTGCACAAATAATCTTAGAAATTTTTCTCATATCTAAAGAATGAAAAGTATGAAAAGAAGTGGTGTGATTTACATAAACGCCTAGATTGATAGGTCAGTTCACCCACTCAGTCCAGTGACAGTGAGGTGTCTAATGTAGTTGAGTTTTCTTGCAACCTTGTATCTGCAGGCCTGTAAATGTCTCTCTAGGCTTGGCCATTACTCAGATACTTCATAACATCTGCAAGCGTAGGCGAGAAAATGTGTAAGTCCTTTACAAAGGTCTCTCTAGCCTACTTGAGTTTATATAACATGCCAAACTTAAGCAAACTGAAAGGAATAAATAAATAAAAGGCTGCTGGTGCCTCTAAACAGTGATGGAGTGAAATTGCGCCTGAAGATGCTGACTTCCACCTCTCATCTGTCCATTAGCATCCACTGTTGGCACAGCAGATATTCTCGTTCAGGGACCATGCTGGCTGACAACTGCAAACACAGAACAGCATGAAGGGATGGTGGCTTTTGTAGGAAACTGTCTAGCACCAAATGTGTAGGATTTCAGTTGTGTGCTTCCCCTCAGGACTGCTTACATGAAAATGTTATAATAGCACCTTACTGGCTTTTGTGAAAATAGGAGAAGTTGGTGGATGACTGGCTTACGTCAGAGATGCTTTGTGGGTTATACTACTGAAGAACCAGTGCTGAGACTCTACATTCACTTCTGTGACCTCCCTCTTGCGTAATCTGTTGCATCCTCATGTGCTGGGGTGCTGGTGTCACTTCTACAGATACAGTGGGCCCAGCTGGTTGTATTGAACTGCACGTGTCTGTGTGTGCTGTCAGCTGAGTGCTTTCAGGGTGCTGGATTGAACCAAAATAGTCTCGTACTGAGATGTCACAGCTTGCAGCTCCAGTTTAAGGAGAACTAGAAATGCTGGCCAATTGGAGAGGGAGCATTGGTAGTAAAAACACTTCTAGCTTGTTACCTTGTCATGCAGGATAATGCTGTTAATGCTAGACAATTGTAGCAGGCTGGCAGTAATAGGGAATGGCAAAGGAGCTTAGCAGGAGTAAGGAAAGGCCAACAATCATACGAGGGGGAAGAAGGCCTGAGGAAAGCATGTGGTGATTACTGGAAATCGTGAAGAACATGTCTTACTACTGGAGCATCTTTTCTATTGAAAAAGGTTTTAGAAAATGAAAATGCATGTTGTAAAATGAAAAGTATGAAAGCTGTCCTTAACTTCATGTCAGTACTTTGTATGGCAGTGGCTTGAGGAAGATGTGATGTTTGAACTGTGATAGTAAACTTGAATATGAAATGATTTCTTTGGCAGCCAATAAGCAGAAAGCAATTCTCGTTGATTTGTATTAACAAAACTGTGGTATCCTTGATGGGGGTATTTGTTTATTATTGAAACTTTGAAAGCTCTCTGTTGTACCTCTGTGTTAGTGTATGGTCAGATCTCTTGTAAACTGAAACTAACACTTAAGTTGCAACAAAGTAGTTCTCATAGTATTTTTGACTTGTCATTCACTGTAAAATGAATGCTAAAATACATAGGATCATGAAAGAAACTCTGGAAAAAATGTATTTCAGTGATTCAGTAATTGAGGATGTGGAACAATTGCATGACTTACTAAGCGAATCTTTCTGTGGCCTGAACTCAGAAGACTATACTGAGTAGGTAATCACAGCTGGATTGGTATTGCAATTTCCTTCCCAGTGATCGCAGTTCAGGTGGGGAGAGTAGTAAAAAGAGGAGAAAAACATACAGTATTTCTGAGGATGTATGGGTGTTGCCAAGGATCAGTAGCCATGAATACATATAGGAAGGATGAGGGTTACTGTTGAAATATGAGGACTTTTTCTTTCTTTTTTTTTTTTTTTTTTTTTTTAGCTCTAGGAGTTAATTTTTAGCTTAAGAAGGGTAAATAGGTTAGAAATAAGTCATATTGGAAATCTAGATGGTGTTCCTTTTGGTATTTTGAGCTTTGCTCAGTGAACATGTAGATGAGAAGGGAATGGATAGGAAAAACACAATTGCTGCATAAAGTGGTAGTCCTGGAAAGATTTGTTCCACGCTGATGTTGGTGTGTTACATTGAAGGGCTGAGACGCAGCTGGCTTTTATTTGTTAAATGCAAAATAACTTATATGAGTGTTTGGCTAGGGAAGAAGAGTAAATGGATGAAGATATGGTAGAGTTGTGGACTGAGAAAGTATAAGGACTGTATATATCAAAACCATGAGGAAACTGTCTTCACTTCCTGCAACTCTTTTTATACTGGTTGGACAATGACAAGCAAAAGTCTATGGAGCTCATCTGGTTGTCATAACACATTAAAGAACACTTAAATGAAGTTTGATTTTTTTTTTTTTTTTTTTTTTTTAAGAATACTAATTTCTTGTGTGTAATTTTAATTGTGGTGGGTGGGGTGTGTGTGGGTTGGGGTTTTTTTGGGGGGGGTGGTGGTGTGTGTTTTTTGGGCTTTTTTAGTAGCGTATGCTGAGTTTGCTGCTTCAGGAGCACTAAAAAAGCTTATCACTACTTAGATGTGTACGTGTGGTCAACCCTCTTGGGATCAAATCAAGAGAAGGTATGAAATCTCTTCAGTAGTGCAGCTCATGGCAGTTGGGGTGATGATGTGGGCAAAGCAAGGAAAATACTCTTACAGCTTCCATGTTTGTTGAAGGGAACATGAGTTTTGCAGATTTAATGGTGAAATAAGAAAATACAGTTACTGTGCTGAAAACGTATACATCTGTAAATCATATGTGCATTAACTGAGAAAATGGCTGTGATATTTATAGTAATGGAATTTGGATCAGGAGTATGAGTTACCCTAAGATTGATACCTATGAATTCTTTTGTGAGGATGGTGTTTTAGACACTATGTCCTGTATTACAGGAATGATAACTTCTTACATTCTTGCTATACAGTGTTTTTTCTCCTAGAAAGGGAGAAATCACATGATTGAAAAAGAAAAGAGCCAACTGAATTTTAGTCTGAGAACGAGTCAGCTTCTCTTGTATAAACAGGTTAGCCATGTGCTCCTACTGCTGACTGCATGCTTTTTCTAACGCAGATGATATCCTTTTGACATTGTTTTACGTAACGCAGAAAAAGGCATTTAACTAACTAGAGAACCAGCGTAGAGTTAACTGTGGCATTTCCTCAGTGCTGTATATGTCCATACTTTGGGAGTCACTTGCCTGACAAGATTTGTAGCTAGTTAGGCAGGAGGCCTGATAGTAATTTTTTGATTTAGAAGCAACATTCCTGGAAAAAAAGATATTATTGAATTCCAAAGTTACAGCAGGAAAGTCCAGGAAGTAAGTACAGCGTAGAACTTGTCATAGAAATAAGGAGGAGCCAAAGGTTTCTATGATATTATCAATATTTTCTTGGAGTATTAAAGTCCCTTTAATCACTCTAAAATACTCAACTCGGTACTGTCCAAAAGTATACTCGTTTGAATTTTTTTTTAAAAATAAATTCCAGGTGGCTAGCCACAGAACTGGGTTTAAGCACTCTAGAATGCCTTTAAAATCATCTCTTTGTTGTACATAGGTCATGAAGCAACTATGTGTGGGCTGATTAACTACAAATATCTACCCAGAACCTGAATAGAAGTCACGGAATCTCAGTTTTAATCACAGTACTCTAAGGGTTTTGATCTCCTGTCCGCAAAGGAGTAGCCTAGTTGTTAGTGCACGGCAACAGTTAACACGCCTGGGCTGGTGCTGTCAGCATTCCCGCTGACATCAGTGGTGTCCAGAGCCGTAAACAGAGAGCAGCCATGTCTATTCTTCCTGTATTGGGGGGGATCAGAATAAAATGCTAGTCAGATGGAGAGCTGCGAAGCTGGTAAGAAACTTTAAACTATTCAGAAAAGTTGTTGATGTAGAAAAGTGACTGAAAATGTTTAAACATTCAGGTAAATATAACGCTTTGTTTGCCGATCCTTCTGGAAAGAAGGATCCTATTTGTAATGTGTACAGCAATGCTTCAAAGTAATCTAGTATTTTACAGGAAAGAAATTAACTGCGTTACTGTTTTATTCAGGAGTCTCTTTGCTATAGTTAATCAAGAATGACTGTACAAGTTCTCAACAACTTGGCTTTTTTCTTAGAAAACAGCAAAAAAAACCCCACAACTGAAAAATGTGAACTTCTGGATGCATTTTATTCTGTTACTGTTTCTAGTAGGAACTGTGCAAATGAGTCCTGAGACTTGCTGTAGTTATTTATAAATAAGTTCAGGTCAAGGCTTTGAAGGCTTTGACTTATACCAGTCCTAGAATGAATGTGAATATTGTTGCAGTTATTTTGTAAGTATTAATATCCTAGAGGGCATTCTAAAATGAGACTTCAGTATTTTCTAAAAGACTATTAAAAGATTCATGTAGTAGGATAAAAATAATTTCACTTCTCTAAAAGATGTTTTCATTTTCGGAGAACTTAAATTGGCTCTTGTAAACACAGAGGACGGTTTTTAAAATGTTAGTCAAAGCAAGCTTTATGGCACCAGAAACTCCTTTTGGGGGAGGAGTGCAAGTGCAAGAAGTGATACATGCTGTAACTTTGTAACAGGTGTACATATGTGGACATTTCTCTCTTTAATGGGTTTTGTGTTGATGTGAATGTTGATGTATCACGGAAGAAATGAATACTGCTCTCCTTTCCCTTCCAGACAATCGAAGAAAAGTAGAACCACCTCTTGGAGGTCATGATCCTCGAACAGCAGTTCAGTTAAGAAGCCTGAGCACCGTTTTAAAGCGCCTCAAAGAAATCATGGAGGGGAAGAGCCAGGTACTTCTGGGGGATTTGTAGGCCAAACTGTCTCGAAACGGAACTGTTTACTGGGCTTCTCTGAGGTTTGCTTTTAGATACATCACAGGGATTTTTTTCAGATGTTTGGAGGATGAGTGTATAAACTCAAAAATCATTGTATGAGTGGAGGGGAAACAATTTAAGTTGACACTGACTTCTGACATGTCAAACATCTGTCATATTGTGGGAGTGGAACACTGCCATTGCTCAGCTTCTTGAACTTGGACCAGATGCTCCCATTTTAGACTTCTTCCGACTTCTGTATTACTTAATCTAGTATTGATGGTTTTTTCCCTTGAAGGCTAACCATGGGCAGGTGAAACATTGTCGCAATTAGTAATGAGAATTCTGAGGATGGTACTATGGTAATTATTGGTCAGCAATATTTGCTTGAAAGGCTTGTCCTGTTAATCAGTTTTGATTCAGCTGGATAAGAGTCTGGTGGTTGCTACTGACTTACTGATTTCACCTCCCTCTGCTGTGATGGACCCTGCCTTTAAGAGGAGGATCTAGTTGAGAAAAGAAGCCACAACTATTTATAAGTGGTGTTATAAATAGCGGTGTCTGAGAGCAGGACACGAACAGGCAAAAGTACACTTAATTAAAATGAATGAAGAGGAAAAACGCTTTTGGCTTGGTAGCTTTTACATGTAGACTTTGAGTAAACTCACTTAGCTTCCAGTGCTGTTCTGCTTGTAAGAGTAAGTTTGCTTTGGTAGAAAGGGCAATATTTTTGAGGTGAAACAAGCATTTCATTGCAGTAAGCAGGGCATTGAGTGGGTCCCCTACTAATATTTCTGTTTGTGGCAGCTTCTGAAGGCCCTGGAGATTTTTCAGACATCTTTGAAGCAATTGGAGAAGTGCTCAAACAGACAGGATGCAGCAGTAAATGAATATGTCTAGATCTTTCTCTGAAAGCAGTATGGTAGTTGCCAGCATGCTGACTTCTGCACAGATGATCATGCATCACTGCCCTTGACTGCAGCCATGTCTTGCTTGGGTCACTCCAGGCAGCGATTTCTTCCTACTGTGGACTTGGTCTGTCTCTACAGGAGACCACTTTACTGTTGTAGAAAGCATGTGTCAGATCCTGGAAGGTGGTGCTCTAATCAACCTCTGCTGCTAATGGAGGCCAGACTTCTGTTCTGAAGCCTTCCTTGTAGGCTATTCTTGTCACGAGTGTTGGCTCTGACTTGAGCAAGGCAGAGAGCTGGAAGGTGTCACCAGCAATGGCAAAGTCATGTGCAAGTGGGGCAGAGGTACTGCTGTTTGGAACAGCCACTGTCTGTGTGGCAGAACCAGAGACTTGCCTTATCATGTGGAGCCACAGCAAAAACTGTTAATCGGCAACCCTTGCAGCTTTGCAGCAGTTCCTTGGCAAAGCTCTTCACTGCATCTTTCCCTGCTTGAAGCTTAGTGTTCATCTTAAAAATTTCTAGACTCTCTTGAACACTAGATTGCCTTGAGCAGTCTTTGGCCTCTTTCTGTATGAGTTTTCTTGGGTGAGGACAGCATGAAATTGTTGTCTTGTTGAGCATAGCTGTTTTGATCTCAAAATTGGTCTGACAGCTATGTGAAACTTGACTTAGTGAACATCCAAAAATAAACCCCAATGCTGGGTTTTTTGGTTATGTGAAAATCAGAGTACGATCACCTTTCTTCTCTGCGGTTACTCTCTTCTCAGGTTGTCTTTCTCTTACTATAGAAAAACCCAGAGTATTCAGTCCCTCTGGAAAGGCTTATTGCCAGAACTGAACTCTAGCAAAGAATGTTTCACAGTCAGAGCTGTCATGTGACCAGTAGCAGTTGTCTCCATCCATGGTAATTGTAGCTGGTGTGCTCAGAATCATAATTGAGAGATTTGTCTTGCTCTATTTATAGCTACACCACCAAATGGAAGTTTTAACTCTTTGTTTTCAAGTCTTAAAAAAAAAAAAGACAAAAATTCCTGTGACTGCAGCCGTGCTGTGAATCAGTATATGTAGTTATCTGCTGTGAATGTGTGTTCCACAGTTGTTTTTACACAGCAGTTAACCTGAAGTTTTGAAACAACATCGATCTGGGACACAGGCTTTTACAACTCTTTACTGAGGTTTTGAAGAATTTGATCATATAAGAAAACCTTTACATGTATCTATAATCCTTTCAAAGTACCTCCCAGTATTAGCTGTTGAAATGATCTTCCTGCACAGATAATTCCTGATAACTTGATTTACCCCTGGATAACAGCTTCAAGTTATGTGTGGTTTGTTTGTTGTGTTTTTTTTTTTTTTTTTAAACTGTGCTAGTTGAGAGTCTGTCATGTGCTAGGGGCAAATGAGAGGGAATGACAATCAGTACTTCATATGTTTGTTTCTTCTTGACCTTTATCTACAGCTCATGATATTTTTTTATCTGCTCTGCTTCCATCTTGGATCAATAATGCAAAGGCTTACTAGATCTGTTCTCACAGTTAAGAACTCTCTCAGCCTTCTGACTCCCTGTAGAACCACATGGAAAATCCTTTCTGTGCATATGTGTGCTTATACACAGGAGTGTACACACACCCACATATATGAATATATGAAATTGTCCTTTTCATGTGCACAGTCGACAAAGCAATCACGAATCTAAACATGCTTTTTTATTTTAAAAAAATAAAGTTTTTCTCTGCTGTCTTTCCTTGTAGGACAGTGACTTGAAGCAGTACTGGATGCCTGACAGCCAGTGCAAAGAATGCTATGACTGCAGTGAGAAATTCACCACCTTCCGGCGGCGGCACCACTGTCGACTTTGTGGGCAGATCTTCTGTAGTCGATGCTGCAATCAGGAAATCCCTGGAAAATTCATGGGCTACACAGGTAGGGTTTATCTGTTGAGAAGCATTCTCTGTATGCTCAGCTCTGTTTGGACTACTACATTTTAGATTCTGCATCTGCTAGGGAATTTGACTCGATGAAATTCCCTGAGTGTATGATTATCTGGGGTTTTGCCCTTTAAGGGAATGTGAGAACTAGACTTAAACATGCAAAGAGATTTTGAAACAGGAAATCATTCTTCTCCCGCTACTACATACCCCTGATCCTGTAGGAACAGAGCACTATTTGTTCCTGTTCACTTACGCTCTCTGGTTCCCCTTTCCATAGGGGATCTCCGAGCCTGCACTTACTGCCGCAAAATAGCCTTAAGCTATGCACACTCCACAGACAGTAACTCCATTGGAGAAGACTTAAATGCTCTGTCAGATTCTGCATGTTCTGTATCAGTGCTGGATCCTGGCGAGCCACGCACACCCGTTGGGAGCCGTAAAGCTAGCCGCAACATCTTTCTGGAAGAGGATCTAACCTGGCAAAGGTAAAGTGAATGGCTTCATACTGAGCTCTAGAGTCTTAACTATGTTTTCAGGCTGACACCTGCCTAGACAAAAGCTGGTGGTTTCCATCTGGAAAACTTAGAAGTATATCTGCTGTAAACAGAATCTAATCCTGTGCTTGGTTCTAATACTCTTCTCTTCAAGTTGAAATGTGGAAAATTTTTTAGTGGAGTTTTAGATGATTTTCAGTTCTTCCTTTAACCTATTGAATCAGTGATCCTGTACCAGTGACAGAGCAGGCTTTTAGCTTCAGAGTTTGAAAAAACAAAACCAAAACCTATCCTTCTAACCATCTATGTATCAAGAGGCAAGTCAGTGTAACACTGATGCTTTACCTGTCGGATTTTGGATTGGGCAAGAGAATATAAGAGATGCTGTCTGTGTAATAAGAGAGAAATGGTAGAAGTAACCACCTGTTTCAACTGACATGGGATTGAAAGGACAGCTGTAAAGGTTCTCTGATCTCCATTCAAAGTATATTTCTTCTTATTGCTCTTGAATGAGAGGATCATTATTTTTGTTCTTTTATTCATCTTCCACTGTACTTCTTCTCAAGTGGTACGCAAGTTAATTTTTGAGGACCTTGATTTAATTTAATGTGGGGGGAGGAAGAAATAATCAGATGTGGTGTTTGTGCTCATTTCCCTAAAAAGAGAAGAACAGGCAGGTGTGAAACTACGGAGGAGGTCTTGAGTCAGACCCTTTCTTGAGTCAGAGCTTTTCTTTAACTGAGAGGTTAGTGACACGTTCCTCTCAGCAGATCTCTTCTAGTGGGTCTGATAGTATGAAAAGAAAAACCTCAAAAACAAGTGTCTTCAGAAAATGGCCTGACTCTTGCTTTACGTGTTGCTTTTCAGTGCTCCTATATGGAAGCAATTAAATTATAAGCTTTAGGCCTAAATAAAGTGCTTCTGGTTTAACGTCATGGTCATCTAAAGCAGTAATGTTGCAATGTTTGGGATAAATACTACCAAATTTTGAATTGGGGAATAAGCATGTGCGCTCAAAATACTTCTCTTCAGGTGTACAAAATAATAGAAAGTATCATTAGTTCTGTCTTCTGATGTGTTACTAGTATCTTTATTATGGCAATTCAACAGCTTGTAGACATGAAAATGTAAGGAAAGTATTTATATCTCTATTTTGGGCAGCTTGTAGCACTCCAGAAAAATACTGGCTATTTTTGAAAGGCTGATAACTCTTTCTATACTAGAACACTTAGACTTGTTGGGAGACACTGAATAAACATGGGCGGCTTTTGTGTGTGAGAGGGAGAGAGATTGAGATTAGGTATTTTATTGTTGCTTTTGGAGGATTAAAATTTTCTTCAGTGGTTGTTGCTTTTAAAATGTGAAACTTTGCAGTGGGGTGCAGTGCTTTTTTTTTAATGCTGCATTTGTAAATTCCTGGTTGACCTTCAGAGGTTTAAACTCAAGACATTGAACTTAAACAGCACCACAGTGGAAAGTGGCAACTCACAGCTTCATAATGGAAACAAAGTGGCTTCTGTGTGAGAAGTAGTTTGCTTCAGAAGAAAACTTGGGAGTTGAGTCCCTTCTCAAAATAATGTATCTGAGATAAGGCTCTTGTCTCTGTTGCTGTCATATGCTACAAAGCAGTGAGAAAAGCATTTAGGGGAGTGATGCTGGATTTACTTGTCTGATGTTGCTCTAATCTTTGAGCAGTTGGAACATAGAGGCATGGGCTCCTGCTTTAATTAACTTGAAGGGCTGTGCCCTTTAAAAGTGAAGGAGTGGTGTACTCTGGGCAAGTACAGCTACTCAGGCAAAGTTGTATTGTGTACCTTTTCTTATGAAGATCATTTATCATGCTAGTACCCCAGCCAGTATGGCTGGATCAGTTGGAGTGTAGTGTAGCTTATATCTGATGCAGTTTTGCCACTAGGAATTTATATTGATGGTGTACAGACATTTGCTCTCCTTCCTCCTGGGGTGGAAGGAAAAGGAGGGCAAAGGTGATAGCAATCAGGTTAGACAATTACAGAAGGTTGCCAGGTGATCTTGGTAAAAGCTGTGTAGCAATAGCTATAGATAGCATTGCTTGGATTGCAAAGATGATGTGTTGGGGAGATGGGGGCAATGTCTCTACCTCCAAAGCATGGAATAACCACCTGTAAGGAAGAGGAAGCGTAAGAAAGGAATATAGAGGAAGGGGGCGGGAAGGCAGTATAATACGAGAAGTGGGAAGAGGCTGTATTGTCCAAGACTTGAGTCTGAAGGGAGAAGACTTGAGCACCATCCTCTGGATATTATTGGCCTACAGATGAAAGATTTCCCTATTCCCTCACTGATTTAACAATCATAGGTGTGAATGAGACATAACATTATAATTAACTGTATTTTAATTCCAGCTGTTCTGATGCTGCTGCATGTGGGAAATCTCTCAAACATCTGTAACATACTCCTTTTCCTTGCAGTTTGATTCACCCAGACTCTTCAACTAGCACATTGTCTGCACGCCTTGGCTCTGTCCAGGAGGATGCAGGGAAGTCACCAGCTAGGAACAGGTAAACTAATTGTATCTGAGTATTTTCTGTTCTGGATACACTTCTAAGACACTCTTCACTGTAAAGCCTGTATTTTAGGGTTTGTTTTTACCGAGCTTGCTGTTTCGTGTCTAAAATGGGACACCCCGTTACTGGTATGTAATGGTTCAGAAAGACCATTTATGTACGTATTCATATTAATAAATGTACTACTTTTGAGGAACCCGTAGTTCGCTGCTGAGTCAGTCAGATAGAGGTGGTGGTGAAGACGACAGAAAGGGAAAGAAGTGGCTAAGAAGGGTAAGAGTTCTGAGGAAGCTGAAGAAAAGGCAGTAACAGAGACATGGTAATGGGAGGCAAAGACTGAGGTCATGGAGGAGCAGAGATGTAGTTTTTGTTTGTTTTGTGGTTTCTTCCCCTCCCCATTTGCTCCCTCTGCTCTTCTATTAAGTATAATCTTGTTTAAGTTACCAGGCTTCCTTAGGCTAAAAACCCATCATGGGTCTTTATGCAAGAGTGCTGGAATGAACTTGGAAATGTTCATGAGAGCTTTAGTGTAACTTGTGAATGCTTGAGCTTAATCCCAGTAAATAGGCTGATATTAGAAGAATAAGTAATTTCTACTTCACAGTGCTTCTACTATGGTTCTGGTTACATACTTCCATTATGGTTAAATTGGGGAAATAAAAATGAGGCAAGAATATGAGGAACAGAGCAAAGATAATCCAAATTTTGGTATTGGAGTCAAGAGACATTCAGAGACTTCTTTGCATTGGTGTTACAGGAACACAGAATGTTTAGCAATTTGGAGAGATCTGGCAGGACCAGGGAAGACTAGGGAACTCTACTAAGGAGGATGCTAGGTGTGCCTTTCGGTGAATGAACTGCTTGGAGTCTTTATCTTCTGTGTGATGGGGACAGTTAGGAGGAGATGCACACTGACTATACAGCTGAGAACCATAGATCTTGTCTAGGGGGAGTGAAATACTGATGAATAAACTAGTACCAAAGATTAGTTCTGAGCAAACATGGCAAGGAGTCCAGAGTTAAAAGTTCAATGCTAAATAACTGCAGTGACGTCAAGAAATGTCTGAAACCGTGAGGATGCTATCCTGCTTCCTATCTGAATTGATGTTGTCTATTTTAAAAGGCCTTTGCTGTTTGCTCACACATGTAGTAGTAGTAGGATTCTAAGCTGGACCTGGCAGGCCCAAACTGCTCATTCAAGTTAAATTTTAACTCTCTGGCTATTCATGGCGTCACCATAGTACTTACCTGACTGGACTGACGTTTGAGAAGTAACGATAAAGTATAACCTATCTCTGTCAAAATTCTGAACCTGTGGAAACAAAACTGTCGGCTTTGGGCAAAGCAATGTTAGCCTTTAGATCTTCTCAAAGCAGCTGTAGATGTTACTTTGAGGCAAGCTTGACTGTGCCTCTTTCTATATAAGATGGAGCAAAAAAGATTCAGGTTGAGTGCATTTAGATGCGGGTAGCTGAAGTTACTTAGTATTACTTGTTTTCCCTGTGGGTGGGGGATATGTGCTTGGGTTTTTTCTCAGGCTGATTATTTATCGGGAAAAAACCCAACACAACAGTCAAATATTGCAAGCAGAGGGATTTGAACGTCTCCTTTGCAGGCCCTTCTAAAGGATGGGGATTTTCACTGCAAAATCTCCCCCTCTGTTTTTAGAAAAGATAAATACAATAAAGTCTTGGATGTAATTGGTGATGATAAAGACACAGATATGAAATCTGACTGTTCTAACTCTTGCTTGATGCTCTTTTACGCAAATTAAAAATACCTGCTGCTTACAGGTAGATGGCACAGTTGAAGTAGCTGTTGTGAAACAACCAGGAGGAGTGCTTAATGATGGACTTTCATGTCAGTCACATCTTCCACATAAGAATGCTTTCTGTTAAGCTGCATAACTCTGCCAGTTCTAACTTTGTTTAACTTGAGAGCATCTGAACAGTAGAAGACTGGCAGAGTTTTAGCCTGCCTTGAGTGCCTGACTATGACAGAAGGTTTTTGCTTATCACCCCTTATTGGGGTTGGATGTATTGCCAACATGGTTTCCTTTGATTCTGCATAAATGACTAAAAAGGAGCTAACTAAAACCCTTTATCAGCCCAGTAGTCCTCCTCAAGAGACAGTGGAGGAAAAAGCAGTGGTTTTGAGACTATTGTACCTTTGGTGTCTACTTCCTTGCAGTACAAAAGCTGAAATAGGGTGATATTACTATTTCATGCCTGGACTCAGCCACGTCATCCATTGAGAATTCTTGGGAATAATTAGTGTCTGTTAGCCCGTTAGCAAGCGTTGTGAAGGTATCTGAGTTTCATACCAAAGACTAGAGTCTGGTAACAGTTCTCATCACTGAGACTACTGCAAGCCTCTTGAGTCAGTTCAGCACTGGCATTTTGAGCTTCCTTGTTGCTGTATGCAGAAGTGTTTGCCATCCTCATTCCTTAGAGCACTGTTAGCATGGATAGCTTTTGCTGCATGCTTTTTGCTGCTACATGATGAGAATTTGCACTCTGGTTATTCAGAGGCTTAGTTTAGTTGTGGGATATTGGAGCACAGGGTATCTGGAACTTGTATTTACACTTGTAACTTTGCAATGATTATTGCAAAATGCTGTGATTGTACTGGAGCGCATAGCCAAGCTTTCCTAACAGCTGGGCTGCAATCAGATGGATGCTTCATATTGCAGTACAAGGAAAATTGCAAGCTGGAGTGACCTTCAGCTTCAGCAGACGGTTTAGCCACCCTAGGGAACAGGTGCTCAAACTTCCAGACTGTCAGCCATATATTTCAGAGAGCTGAGGAGAAGGAATGTTAAATGGGTCAAGGAGAGGGAATCTCAATGCCCTGTTACAGGGATCCTGGTGTTGGGTGCCCTTGCTGGCATCTGTCTTGCCTCCAAACCGCTGGAGCTTCTAATTACCTGGCATCCCATGCCTTCCCCAGTCTTTTCAAATGCAGACATACATGAATTGCTGTGCCTACACATAGTTCTAACTGCTTCCTACAAAGAGCTTTACAAAATTTTATGTTTAACTTACATGTTCCAAAGCAATACACTTGCTTCCTAGGGATCCTTTCTTCTGCTTTGACAGGGGAGGGAGCTTTAAGCAGTAAGTCTGTACTGTGGAGAGTGAACAATGTCACAGCCTTAAGTTCCTTTTTGTCATACTACAAGATCAGTGCCTGCTCTGGTGAAGCATTGCACGATGAACACTTACACTTCAATTCTTCTCTTTTCCACTACAGATCAGCCAGCGTCACTAACCTATCACTGGATCGGTCAGGTTCACCAATGGTGCCTGCCTATGAGACATCCGTCAGCCCCCAGGCCAGTCGCACACATATGAAGGCAGAGACCAGCGAGGATGAGCGCAAAATCCTTCTGGTACTTTTCAGACTTCTATTTGTCTTGCTCTGTGAAGGCAATGAAGTTTGCCTTTCTTGTATCATGCAGCAGGAGTATCTTGCTGCCTTGAAAGGCTCTTGTCTGAGTGTTCTTACGTGGACTTCTCCTCCAGGTGGTGCAGCGATGGAGAATATTGACGCTACTTTAGACACTTGTGTCTTCCTGAAACAAATCATAGTTTCATGTGGTGTTTGCGTAAAGGTGTTTACAGTTTTAGTCTTGGGAAGTGTGTTACACAGTGTAGAGTTGGCGTTTGGTGGCTTCATATGGGTTAAACCTCTCATGGTTGCAGCTGCAACACAATAACCTGATTCTGTATTTCTCCAAGTTCAGATTTTCCCTTTCATAGGCCACATAATCAGAAACTTTAAATGGCTGCTTCAAAATGGTTACACCATGATGAATGAGTTAAAGCTGTTACAGCTTATTGGGCCTAAATGTAACTTGGCCCCTCCCCTTGTTTGCAGAATAAATATAGCATTTTGTAGAAGGTTGCAGTGACGTACTTGTTCGAAGAAAAATCAATGTGCAACAGTGTTCTGTGTAATCCTATTATCCTCTCCCCACAGAGGCAGTAATGTAGGTAGCAGTTACTGTGCAATGTTCAGTAGAAAACTGCTTCTTTTCATTGAGGGAGGGGAAGTGTTTCCAACAAACGGGGAAAAAAGATGCAGAGAAGGGAAAGGAGTGTTTTTCACACATTAAAAGATTCAAGATTGCTCCCCACTGCCAATTTAAAATCAGGAAGGCTAATTTCTTTGTCAGATATTTGCCTGCTGTAAGCAAGATACATACAAGTATTCCTGAGGGTGCAGAAACACTCTAGTTCTTGTTCAGTTGCACAACTCCTTTCCAGGGTGCTCTGTAAATGGATAACCACATGAGGGAGAAACATTTTTAAGGCACGTCTTTACACCACCCTGCCCAGGAAAAATACAGGAAAAATCAAATTTAAAACGCTGTGAATGCAGCTTGGACCTAGATGATCAAGTCCCAGTGCACTTCAACTTCACGTTCTTTAATTTTTTCTCTTTCCTTCCTTGGGGGAGAAGTAGCTTGGTAGTATCACTCCTGTTCATGTAAGAGCAGAAGATACAGTGTTAATTAACGTAGGATTTTCTTTGAATTCCCATTGTTTGTTTAATGCATTTGGCATGTAGAGCTGACTGTCAGGAGTTAATGTAAAGCTCAACATATTCCATTTAGAAGACTAGTGAACTTTGCTCATGAAATAAAAGGTAGGGGAGGATGCACATACAGTGGGGTAAGCACATACTTCTGTGAACTAGAGGTCAAAATCCTTGAGTTGAAAGGATTTGCTGTGTTCTGCCAGTTTGTCCAGTTTACTGAATTCACCGAGTGAGTTAAGGGTAAACCACAAGGCAGGTGAGCTGTGGAATTGCCAGTTGAATCAAATCTTGTGATCCTATGATGTGTTCTGTTACTGATCCATTTGACCTTATACATGATATGGAAGGGAAGCTGCTGACACTGGTTTTAGGATAATACCCAGGACAATCACTGCTGGAAATAAAAGCAGAAAGCCAGTCCAGTAACAGAAGTGGAGCAAAACTCTTGGATCTTAGAGCAGCCTTGGGAAAGTGCAATAATGTGGGTCTGGCAGTAAACTGGAAAGCTGAAACCAGTTAAAATTTAATTAAAACTTTTTTTCCCTCTGTTACACAAAACCAGAATGATTGAGGCATTATAGAAAGTGAGCTGCGGTGTCTCTTCTCTACCCCTTGGGGTGCTCTGTTGCTCTCTCAGAATGATCCCAGATTCCAGTTTCCACTCTGCAACAATGGATTGTGCTGTGCCAAGCCAAGGTGCATATGGGAAAGCAAAAGGGGCCAGGTGCAGAGAGATAGCAGTCTGGCAGTTTAGTTGGAGCATAGCCTGTACAAGAGTTGGCACAAATGCTTAACAGGCCCGAAAATAAGTTCAAGGTTTAGGCTGAAGTGTTCCAAGTGGTGAGGAGAAGAGATCCACAGATTCAAAAATAGTTAATTGAGTTGGGAGGGGTACAGACCCTTTTTACTTAGTGGCCAAAGCTAGCAGTGTCTAAAAAATGCTTGATACTGGACAATAAAAAGGAATCCTCAATAAGAAATGGTATCCCAGAACTTGAACATAGCAGTGTGCATTGCTATGTCACATACTTGCTTTATGTCTGGGCTTGATAATGGAGTAGTATGCTTCACAAAGCCTACATTGAGCACAGGTTATATAGCAAAACCCTCTTCCAAAGGATGCGTTGTCATTGTCCTCTATATTTTTACACGCCACCTGATTTTGAGAATAGGGTGCAAGAGGGCAGTAGTGAGACATAAGTATCTGGTAGGCAGTACAATATCTTGCCACATTAAAAACAAAAACTCCTTAACTCAGAGGGTACTCACATTGTATCTTCCTTGCTCTCAACTTTTATATAAAAGGAAGGATATAAGGAGCTGGTTGCATGTCTGTTTGCTGTTTCTGTTTACCCTTTCGCATAGGTTGTGCAGAATGGCTTAGATTTTATGCCTATTCGTGGAGGGCTCTTGAACTAGAAGCTGATCTGAGGGCCCAGGTTGATGCCCTTGAAACCAGTGCCAAGGTCGGACTAGTAAGTAACTTGCACATCTCCCTGTCCAGGACTCAGTCCAGCTGAAAGATCTCTGGAAGAAAATCTGCCATCACAACAGTGGGATGGAGTTTCAAGACCATCGCTACTGGCTGCGGACACATCCCAACTGCATTGTGGGAAAAGAGCTGGTCAACTGGCTCATCAGAAATGGACACATAACCACAAGGTAACCCTGATGCTTTAGGACAGCAGAGGTCTTCTGTCTGTGTGACAGGTGGTTGTGAGTTTTAGCTGATATAGAGTACCTTAGACTGCAGAGAGAGACCCCTTTCAGGGAGATCAGAAAGAAAGAAAATTCAGAGCTCTTCTTTACTGCCTACCAAAGGCAGGGTTCTGACTCTGTGTGGCCCAAAACAACAGGGCACAGGGGGCTGTCTGGTTTGGGAGCCAGTGTGGGAGGCAGATTACAGGACAGGTATCATTCAAACATTTGGAGAACAGTGAGTGTATGACAAAGACTGTCCAAAAATATCCACTGATACTCCAAAGGGCAAGTCTGCCCCTGGGATCAAAGATCACTAATAGTGTGTGATAGTTAAATTTTTGGTGGGGGTGGCAGGCTCTTAACCTTGTAAGTGAATATAAAAAATCTAGTGTATTTAACTATGCAAGAGGGAGATAAAACTGAGATGGTTCTTAAGTGTAGAGCAACAGTCCTTGTTCAGCAGAGATGCTCGGTATGTATTACTCAAGCTAACAATATTGGAGGAGCACAAACAATATGTCTTTATCATCTGTTGGACACCTCAGCTGAATTTAGATTAGAGTACAGGCAGTCTTTTCATCTAGCTCCATACTTGAACCAGTATGCTCTGCTGCCTCTCCACAATATTTTGAATAGCGTCTGGTTAAACATGGCAATGGGATACTGATGAGTCAAATGGTGTGTAGGAAGTGACTCTTTCCTTTTGTAGCATGCTTGTGCCATCAGCCATATGTGTTTAGAACTAACTAGACTTAGAAAACCATCTCTATTCTTATACCTCCAGGGTCCAAGCCATTGCAATAGGACAAGCGTTGGTTGATGGACGCTGGCTAGAATGTGTCAGTCATCATGATCAGCTCTTCAGAGATGAGTATGCTCTCTACAGACCGTTACAGGTAAAAGAAGTAGGAAAGCCATTGTTCTTGCCCGGATTGGCTGCTGACCAGAATCTTTTCTAATCCTGCTAGCAGCAGCTGTTGTATGTTTTTTAAATCAGCTCTTTTGTACAGAGAATTGGGGTCCTGGCCTTTTTCCTTAGTGGTTTAAAGCCTGAGGAAGCTGCATTTGTCCAGAAAGCTTTGGGACTGTCCTCTGTGGAGGATGAGTTATTACAGGTAGTGCTGCCTAAAGTGGAGGAAGGGGTGTGTAATCTAGGCCAGTGCCTCTTACGGTGGACATCTTCCATGGAGGCCTTGGAATGGCATAGTCTGTGCTTGTGGCAGCTGTGCTATCACATGCAGAATCTACAATCTGTGCAGATACTTCTTCTGATCTCCAGTGATGACAGTAGTAAACAATTCAGTACCTTAGCCACATGATGCAAGACTGGGAGGGGGTCTTTGTCATGCCTCCAAAAAGGAGTGGCTAGCTGAGGGGGAGGCAGGGAACCAGTGACCAGAGATGCTATCTTACTGTATTTCATTGCAATCAAACTTGCTGAGGGGTAAAAGCAGTCACTGGCCTGAGTGATTGGATTGTTCTTTTAATTTGAACAAGATATCTCTGTAGCCTCTCTGAAAGCACTCAGTTGAGAGTCTTCTATGTTCTGCAGCTTCTCACAATAAAGAATCGCTCAACTGTCCCATGGACCTCAGTCAGAAAACTTGCAGCCGTTAGCATCTTGTCTTCCTTGTGCATTTCAGCTTTTGGCCACAGTCACATGGTCTTCCATTGAGGTTGCTTTGGGCTTCATCTGGAGTCTCAGATAGTTAACTTCGCTGTCTCAGTTTGGTAGTAAAAGCTTGACTTTAACTGGATCCGTATTTATAACTCCCCCACTTGGCTGGGGATAGGAAGCATTCAAACCAGCTTAGCTGGATGTGGTGACAGAAAAAAACCCCTGTCCTTTAGTGCCACTTAGTCACAACTTGTGTGGAGGTGGGAAGGAGGCAGAGACTGCGCATGTGGAAAGTGTAAAGAAACACTTATTTCCTGCCCCAAAGAGTTCCTGTTTCATACCAAGGGGGGTGGCTCTGACTAACCTGGCTCAGCCCACTGAGAGTATCCTCTGATTTTTGAAATGTCTGATCTGCATTTGTAGCAGGCTGCTTTCTAAGGCTGCTTAATATATCAGCAGAGCTGCACTTTTAACACCTTTTTTTTCTTCCTTGACTTCTAGAGCACAGAGTTCTCAGAAACCCCATCTCCAGACAGTGACTCTGTGAATTCGGTAGAGGGGCACTCTGAGCCATCCTGGTTCAAAGACATCAAGTTTGATGACAGTGACACAGAGCAGATTGCTGATGAAGGAGAAGATAACTTAGCCAGTGAGTTTCACCTGAGTCCTGTTCTCACTCTGCCTTCTCCCCTGTTATCCCCAGTCCTTTTGGACGTATTAGTTCAACCATGTCTTGCTTTATGTGTGTGTGTTTGTATGTGTGCGCATGGGGCTGTAAGGATCTAAGCAAGCTATAACCTAGCTAGTCCTCCTGTTTCTTATGATGGATACAGTATTTTGTATTTAGTGGAACTGGTAAAGCTTCATAATTCTAATGGAGGAGGAGCATGTAAATTGCTGCCTTCTATTTCTCAGGCAGAATTCTACTCGATTTAGGCCCTATAGTAATGCACTAAAGAATGCCCAGTGTGTCAGCATGCACACGTGAAGATAAGATTAGAACTACGAAAATACTGTATTCCTGTAGTATTACACACTGGACTTTATGTATTAAAGACAATTTTTCTCCTCTCTGGTACCCTCGTGATGCCCATCTGAATCCTTCTCCTCCCTGTATCTTCCCCCTTACCCAACACTAAAAGACTCCGCCAGCCCTAGCAAGCGCACTTCAGTCAGCAGCTTCCAGTCCACAATGGACAGTGATTCAGCCGCCTCCATCAGCCTGAACGTGGAGCTGGACAACGTGAACTTCCATATCAAGAAGCACTCCAAGTACCCACATGTACCCCCTCACCCTGCCGACCAAAAAGGTATGAGGTAGTCACCAGCTGGAGTTGCACATGATGGAGAGCTGGGCCCTAATAATACTGACCTGTTTTGGACGCTACTCTTGTAGCTGTCTTACAGAGGGGGAAATACAATATTTAGCTGGCACTCGCTTGTAGTTTTGATGTGCTCACCTCTGAGGAGGCTCAGTAGACCTATTGAAACGCCTTCTCTGCAGAGTGTGTAACTTCCCCTGTGACTTTCTCTTTGCAGTTGAAGCAAAGTCTCCTGCCCATATGTAATAGGGCAAATCCACATATACAGTTTCTGGCTAACTGGGGTGGAAAAATAATCTGAGCATAAACCAGTTTGATATGTGTCTCTACAGTTTGAGATTAAACTGGAAAAGCAAGCAAGAAAAAAAAAACCCCGAACAACAAACAAACAAAATTAACTCTTAGCTCTTCCAAGAGCTCGGTTCTGACTTCTAATTGTACCTTAATAAGCTTACATTTGACAGAAGAATCTTACTGATGAGCAATAAGGCCTAACTTAATCCATGTATGTAACATTTGTTCAAAAGAGAGCATCCACTTAAGCAAAGTAGGAAGAAATCAAATACTCAGTGTTGAAGAATTCTTTTGCAAGCTTTTTCTCCTAAATAAATACTAAATTAAAAGACTCTAACTATAAGCAAAATCCTTACAGAAAAAATAATGTGCCTACCTGTTGACAAATGCATTCTTTAAATCGGACAAGGGCTGACTGAAACTAGGGCTTGCCACTGGCTTAGGTCTAGTACATTCTAGTTGCTTTATATGCTGGGTAGCAATTGATGTCTTTGCTCTGCTTCGTTACCTAAGGTTACATCAGCTTTGTAGACATCTATCTTTTGGCTGCTTCTAAGGAGTTTATTTTTAATTGTTGTTTCACCCCACCCCTTCAGTGTTTCCAGCTTCAGAAGATGATCCAATATTAAATAATTTGGACTCCTTCTAATGAGTTCATCCTTCTATAAAGTCTAACAGATCTCTTCTGTTGTTGTGGATCAGAATGCAAGACTTACCTTATGCTTGCTTACAGATTGCATTTTCTGACACTCTGAAATGGTCACTGAAGAAAGTGAGGGAGGAGAACTGGTCACAGCTGACTTTTGAAGTATATTCGACGTAGGAGAGAGACTGAGGCAAATTAGAGGGGGCATATATCAGTGCCTATTGTAGTCACCTTTTGTTATTTGCTAAAAATATGTCTAGAAGAAGGGAAATCTAACTGCTTATTTTTTTCCCCCCAAAAGACAGAAGCAGAGCAGGTTCAAAATTCGAGTTTGTCAGGTGACTTAACAGTAGGGACAGGTTGTCAGCACCAGCTCATTATTGGTGCCTTTCAGCTTGTTTCCAGCTTGTGCCCTAATCAAATGAAAAGCTAATGCATCTGCAGGGAAGAAAGGGCGTGGAGAGGGAGAATATATAATTCAATTCCTTTTAGGAAGGAGGGATGCTGGATTAAGTGAGCCTGAAACAGGCCCAGGTGTGCTGCAGTATCGTATTAATTTATAGCTAAGGCAGGTTTATCTTTATCAGTGTGTGTTGGCAGTAAAGCAAGCAGTAGTTAGTTTGGTTCTAGCCAGTGTTAAAGCACTTGTAGAGTGATAGTCCTGGTTTCAGATGTATCTCAGTCTTTATCTCCTTATACAAAAAGCAGTACATGATGAAGGGGAAATGTAAGAGAGCCTACCTCTCTCAGAAACTGTTGATCAAATCAAGGCTTCTCATAGCCAGAACTGAAGCTTTTGTGAGGAAGATTTTGATGATGGAGAGCTTAGAGAAGGTCAGCAGAAAAGGCAAGTGGTGGGGGGACTGAAAGGAGAGAGACTTCTGCCTTTGAATTATATATGTTGGCAGCACTCTGCTATCTTTGGTGAATCTCTGCTGGCTGGTGTTTGTTATCGGTTCCTGTAATGTGTGTTCTCTTAACCAGGTTATTTTGTAGGAATGTAATTTGTAGTAGAAAACAGGGAACAATTCCTTTTAAGAGAATGGATTTCCCTTGAGAGGAAAGTATCAGTAATATGCCTAGAACTGGGACAGAGTGGAGCTGGAGTCATTAAAATGCACCATGGAGGGGTAGGTATTATCCTGCAATTTTCTGGAGAAAATCTGTATCCTCTGCAAATACAGAGGACTTACTGTACATCTTTTTTTGGATTCCTGGCATGAGAGTCTCCAGAGGAAACACCTAACCAGGGAACACCAAGGTAAAATGAATGGCAACATCTTCAATAGCAAGAAACATTTCTTGGCAATAGGGAGACTGAAATTTCATAGATACTTAGATGTTTGTTATTCAAGGCCTTCAAAAATTAGGTGGGAGAAAACCCTACAGTGCATACTGCAGTGCCTAGAGTAGTGAAATGGATGACTTCTAAAATTTTGTTCTGGAAATATTAAATGTCAGCGTGCAAAGACTTTCACCTTGTGTTCTTGATTTATACTGGCTATGTTCAACAAAAGATGCCATCCAGGATGTTAGAGTGTCACGATGTGATAGAGTATCACAATTCATGGTGGAAGTGGTGGGGCACTGGAAGAGGTTGCCCAGAGAAGCTGTAGATGCCTCATCCCTGGAAGTGTTCAAGGCCAGGTTGGCTGGGGTTTTGAGCAACCTCGTCTAGTGGCAGGTGTCCCTGCCCATGGCGGGGGCTTGGAATGAGATGGTCTTTAAGGTCCCTTCCAATCAAATTATTCTATGATTCTATGATGATTAGACAGCCAAGACTAGATAGTTAAACTTCTATGTAAAATGAGATACGGTTATTTTAAGAACAGAGTACTGTAGTCAGTGACACAGTGTGTTTGCTGCTGTCAGGGGTCAGTAACTTCCCTGTGACCATTATGGACACATGTATTTGGCTTGACTTCATTGGAACTGTCTTTTGTCCTTAGACCGGATGACAGTGACTTAATGTTCTCTGAAATAATGAAGTAAAACTGAAGATCACACCCACCTTTTGAGGCTAGTAACTCAATTTCCTCACAACTGTGTAAATTACAGTCACTGGGGGAGGACTGAAAGGACAAAACATCAGTGCTAGAAGTGCAGGTCAACTTTGATCTAAGCAGTTAGTGGGTTTCTTCAAATGATTAAGGGATATGCAATTTTCATAAGTCACAGAGGTCAGCTGCTTTGAAGCAATGGCCTGTGATGTACCAGCTATGTTTTAGATCAGAGTAGTTTGTATATAGTCTGAGTCTAATGGCAGGCCTTCTTGTGATGTTATAGGCTGACTAATGTCTGGTGTGTTTCCATGAAATTCTAGTGACTGCAAGTTAGCAGGCTTATAGTTTCTTACAAGTGAGTATAGTGACTCATTTATAGTATCATCTGCCTGAAGACAATGGCACTTTACAGTGTGTATCAAAATGGGAAACAAAGTAAGACTGCTTTCTGCATTTAAATTGGGGGAAGAGATTAAGTGACTTACTTTAAATGTAGATTTTTAGTTGCTGTTTTTAAAGAGATACAGTTATCAATATGGGAAACACTATTTTCTAAATGTCCTTGCAGCTAGATATCCTTGATCCTGGTAGCAGGTGTTTTGGGTAGTTAGTTTTTGATGTCTGCATCCAGTTAGGAATTGGATCTGAGTAACCATGACACAGTTCATTATCACCATTGCTTGCCAATGCTTAGCGTGCTGTTGCCAGGAGCTCTTTTGGTGCACCTTCTTTTGAAAAGGTGCACCTCAATTTTCAGTGGGTATCTGTGGATGCATGCATCTTTGTGTATCTAGAGGAAAAGCTGTGGTTGCTGTCCAGTCTGTTTTGGTGTTTAACCAGAGAAATCTGTAAGGTGTATGAAATCTGTACCTACTGGTTTCTGTTGAAGACCTGTGGATTTCTGTGTGCATTGTGGTATTTGCTTCCAGTGATGCCCTTGAATATCAGACGTAGGGATTTGTATGTTCTGAGGTGGGGTTGTTTGATTCTTTTTTGTTATTTTGTTTTGGTGAAGCTGTTCAGGGGAGCTTGTGAGATAGTCTCTTGGTAGCTAACTGCTTGCAGACAAGGCTACAAAATATGCTACAGGGACCTCTTACTCCCCCACCACCCCTAACATTCTGTGCAGCATGACGCACGTAGGGATGATGTGAGGTAAGAAATGTGCATATTAGCCACTCTCACTGCCTCAAACTCACACCTATGAGTGTGTTATCCGTCCAGTCTAGGAAGAGGTATGATAACTTAGCTTGTCAGGAGTTTCCCCTGGGGCACAATTGGAAGCAAAGTTATAGGAGGTGAAGCTGTATTGAAGAGAAGCATTCCTGGTTTGAACATGCCACCTGTGTCTTTGTCTGGAGCATAACTAAAGTGAGGTTTCAGCTGGAGTTGACTCCTGCCTTGGCCATGCCACTCAGGGATATATGTCAGACCTAATTTGAGTGTGTTCACAGTAAGAGCTGCTGCCCTGAGGCTGTTGCCAGGTGGAGAGGGATGTAGGTGCTAGTATACATGCTCATGTGTAGGTGCAGCGTGACATGACTTTCTCTAGGTAGTCTGTGGGTGAATGAATGCTGGGGGTGAGCCAGCTTTTATGAAGCAGTAGGTTGCTTGTAATGCTAAACTTTTCATCTAAGCAAGAGATGAAAGGAATCCGCAAATAACCATCAAGCTGCAAGGGAGGCTTGCAACTTCTCTTTGGTACATTGATTGTCTGTTGACTATCTGTTTGCAGGCTGGGCAACTGCAGACAAGCTCAGATTTTTAAACTGGTGGCATGTAAGGATTCTCTTGAGTGCTGCTGTTCAGAGACTTGTAATTGCTTGCGTCCTGTCAACTTTCTGTTGCTTTCTGTTGGTGTCTGAAAGTTGCCTGACTTTGCGTTCTGTTTGTGGCAGTAGGTCTGGACCATTCTCAGGAAAGGTGATAAAGAGTTAGCTTCAGACTTAGAATTGTCATGTCGTATAAGCAATTGGGCTATTGCTCTTGTTTTCCCACTGTACAATCCCTTTTTGTAGAATCAAGGAATCAACTAAAAGCACAGCAAGCTAATGGCCTCTGGAGAAAACAAGCTTTTTGTAGCCAGCCAGCCTGTGTGAAAGACAAGGATCTAGCAAGCTAAACAAGTGTAGTGGATGGAGCTTCATCCTGTGCCTCGTATGTTAAGTGATATATAACGCTTGCTTTCTTTTGTTGCTGGGAGTCCACCTCTGTCAGCATGGATTCCTCAAAACACTTTAAACTGTTTTAGACTTTAGAATTCTGACTCTTGAAAGGCAGACTGTCTTCTGTTTCCTTCAATGTGTAAGATAAACCTTATGGCTGGTCTCTTCCTCAGTCTGAGATACTTACTTCATTGGAGTGTGAGAGCAAAATGGCTTCTGAAGCTCCATTTTTAGACCAGAGAGAGGATGCTGTTCCCTGTCTGGGCATTCCCACGGTGTCTGCTCGCAGCTTAACACATTTATATTCAGATCTAGAAAAGGATGGTGTGGGTCAATTGGGAAAGCAAACTCTTAACTCCTAGTTCAGTCTTTGCTTGTGTCTACTTTGTTTGTTTTGTTTCTTCACAGGAATAAGTACTGTTTTCTTGTCATCTTAGAACTTTTTGATAGAACAAGAATGCGAGGATATTCTTGTCTTGACCACTCATCAAGCTGTTGCTAAATTGGTGACTAACCACTTAGATGAGTAATGCTGCTGCTTCTGGTGTGGGCGTGTACATTGTAATTATATGGGTGCACCAGTGTAACCTGTCATTTTTTTTTGTCTCCGCCTATCTCCCTCTTCTCTCTGCTTTCAGAGTACTTGAATCCTGAAAACGGAGGGCAGCAGATGTTCTCTATAAGTGATGCTTTTATTAAAGGTAAGGAGAAATTTCAAATGTTGCTGTTGTGTGGTTTTAATGTAATGATGAAAACTCCTCAATACTCCTTTAATAGGGCATTGACCCTTTAGAAATATTTACTTGACAGTAAATCTGAACTTATTTGTGGCAAAATTGATGTATAAACTATAACTTTTTAAAATGCAGTTTCAGGCTTAAATTTCTTTCACTTCTCAGATTTCTTCATCAAAAGCACTCAAAGAAAAAGTTTGGGGTTTGTGTGTTTTTTTGTTTGTTTTTCTTTTTTTTTTTTAAAATTAAGTGTAAGTGACAAGTATGTTCACAACCTCCCCACCTATAAATTTATGTAACAGACACGAATTTTAACTTTCTGTACAAGCAAATGAAGATGTGATATGATTAATGGCACTGCTTCTACAGAGTAGCTTAAAGCTTCATCTCTTAAATCGTTCTGGGTTTCCTGTCATCACCACCACCACCACTACTATTTCTGAAATGAAAGACCATTAGACACAGTTGTGAGTTTTAAAACCCATGTGCCTTCCAGTATCATGACCAGGTGCACTTGTGGGCTTTTTTCCTACCAGTTAATGCTAGTGATTTTGATGAGCTCATCAGAGGAGGAAACAAGTGGGAAACTCCAATGTCTGTGCAGCCAGAAAAATAAAGTCTTTGATTAAACTGATGGTTAGTTTTTAACTGAGCTTTTGCAGGAGAAAGGAAAGGGGAAAAAACAATATAACTTCTGTTAATCTTCTACATAGCTAATTTTGGGTATGCAGCATCTGGAGGAAGTTAATTGTTGTTTTTAGAGTGTCTGGTTTTTTTTTTTTTTTAATAGTCCTGCTCAGATTACTACTGTGTAAAGATTTTTGCGGTTCTGTCATGCACTCTGAGGAGTTTTAAGCTTGAACTCAGGGCTTACATGCTTGCTGATGAAAATTTATACACAGCTAGCGTAAATCACTTATAATATAGTCAGCCATTATGAGAATGGGGAAGTTTATAACTTCCTTCTATAACATCATAATACCTGTGTGGGAAATAACCTAGTAACTCTTTCAAAGCACAGAAAACTATGCTAAAATAACCTCTAATCTTGATACTGCCAAACAGAGAACAGTTCTAAGGAGTAACTACACAATACAGTGATTGAAAGTGGCGGGCCCTCTCCAAGTGAGAATTTACACCGTTAAAACTTGCTTTGTTTCTGAGACCAGAAATGGCTATAGTTCATGCTGACATTTAAGATTTTAAAAATTGTATTCAGTGGATGCAGACTTCATTGACATTCTGTTTATCGTAGTGGAGAGATACCTGTATATATGATAGGTGGATGGAGGTGAGAAGATGTGCTGGGATCTGCTAGAAAGCTTGTGCCACTTTCTTGACAGAAGATCCTTGAGAATTTTGTAGTATTAAATACTGTGATATAGGCTAGATGAACCAGCCTGCTGGCGGCTCCCTCCACACCTGAGCAGCAGAGAGGTGGCATGTGAGATCAGGGCTGCAAGTCACATAAAGGTTCAAAAGTCTGACATACAAATTGGTAGCATGGCATTTCTTTAAAATATATTTAGGAGATGTACTAAACAAGGCCTTTACCAAGATATTTTTGATACTTGAGCTGTAGCCTGAATGAAATAACTAGATATTTTAATGCCACTTACACATGGATGTCTTCAAAGCAGCAGCTTTTTGTCGATCAAATTAGTGCCTTTGACCAATGTTCTAAGTCTAAAAGGCATTATGATTACGTGTTATGAATATACATGATATTTGGAATTTGCTGCTTATTTATAGACAAAATTGGGATATAAGTTTTTTTTTTCTTATCTTAAGAAACGTGGTAACAATTCAATTCCAGAAGAGAAAACCATCTGCTCTATATTGGCAGTACACGAATTTTAGCAGCTCACTTTTCCTTTGTACGCTCATCACTGTTATACTCGATACTGTTTGCTGCGTTGTGTTAACATGACATCTAGCTTAAACTCAGTATTTCAAGAGGCTTAGACTTATGTCTTAGTAAATTCTTTCCTTTTCAAAGCAGCTTTTCAGAAAGACACAGGCATTCGACTGTGACCTTATATTAACAAGGTTTGTTTGTCTCTTGCAGAGTCATTATTCAACAGGAGGGTGGAGGAGAAGTCCAAAGAACTGTTTTTCACACCCCTAGGCTGGCACCACAGCAATCTGGATCTGCTGAGAGAAGAGAATGGGGAGAAACAAGCCATGGAAAGGCTGCTGTAAGAAACATGTAGAAAAAGGAATTTGCATGTCTTGAGTAAAAATTCCTGAAGCCACTGTATTCCACCAACTTTCAGTGGGACTTGGTCTACAGTGGACAATACAAGGAACTAATTTGCGTTAAGAAACCAGCATTTTTACAGTATATTTTTATAACTTTTTTTCCTGTGATTTTTGTATATTGAAGTACAGGCCCAGAGTTCTGCCCAGAGGCAGAACATTCTAGGCAACTGTTCCTTCTAGAGGACTTCCTGCACTGTAAATGTTAAGAAACTTAACGTCTGAAATGTGACTTCAACTAATTGCTGCTCTGTATTTTTCTCATGAGAAATCTATTTGTTTTGCCTTTTTTACAGGTCTGCTAATCACAACCACATGATGGCACTGCTTCAGCAGCTTCTGTACAATGAGTCCCTGTCACTGTCCTGGAGGGATATCATTGTACCTGTGGTCTGCCAGGTAGTTCAAACTGTACGGCCTGATGTCAAGAACAGAGATGATGACATGGATATCCGCCAGTTTGTCCACATCAAAAAAGTAAGTTTCAGACAGTGGATGTAGGGAACCAAAAGGATGCAGCTGCTGGCAGCACCCATTGATGGAAGAGTCCCCTTCCCACTGCCCTCAGCATGTTCAGTGGTTTAATTGACCAACGTGGCCTTTGGATAAGGTGGGGTTCTAGAAAAAGTTACACAGAAGGAACTTTGCATCTTGGGAAGGGTGCTTTAATGCCCTGGAGCTGACCTCTTCTTTCAGGCTGTAGGCTGCAGAAGGTAGCAAAGAGCAACACCTCTGTAATGACTTGCTTCCTTTTTTGATTTCCGCTTGTTTTGTGTCTGGATTGGAAATGTACTGAGAGCTGGATAAGTAGCTTGCAGGACTCTGTAGCAATCTATTGCCCTATAACTATCCATTACAGAGGATTGAACTCCTCCCATGCCTTGTACAACGACTTTCTTCAAGAGAAAAACTTACATGTTATGGGATGGTGCATCCAGTTCTGCCAGATGGCCTAGTGTTGATGTCAAACTGTAAGGCTGGAGTTGTGGCATGCAGAGTTTCTTCTGAGAGGCTGATATGAAACTAACATCTAAGGAGCTAGAGTGACTGAGGATCAAAAGCTCGGGCTTATTTTTCTTTGGCAAAATTCACTTCAGGAGTCCTCTCTTGTTTGGAAGCCATATAAGATACGAAGAGAGCCTTATGGTTCTGGTGGCAACTCTCTGGCATCTCTTCAGGCAGCATCAGTTGTTGCTTCCTCTCCTGAAAGAGCAGATATTCAGAAGTGAAAGCTCTTTGTAGCTGTCTGCTGTTTTCACATGCTGATAACAGAAACGTCCCCTGAAACACGTTATTCAGAAACCTGTTTCGTGTTGTTTATTACTCCTGTGATTGGTTGTTACTATAGGCACACCAGTCAAGAGTTTGATGTGCTTAAACAGTAGACAGGTTTGTTTGGTTTTCTCTTTTTCTTTTTTTTTTTTTTTCCCCCTTCTCTTTCCTTTCCTTACAACTTGTTTTTTGTTAGTGGAAGTGGCATGTGTGGAGTTACATGCTTCCCATGGCCTAAAGAAGATAGGTTCCCTTATTATGTTCCAGAGTGTACCCAGTTTAACAAATATGCATCTGTTGGGAGGGACACAGGGATCCTGGAACTTAGTAGTTGGTTTCATGTTGTCCTTAGTTTGCCAGACTTTAAAGGAAAAGAGTTCAGCATGACTGTATCTGATCTTCAATCTGGTAATTGAGGGTGTAGCTGAAGCTTGCACATCAGCTACAACAGGTATTCTATGTATTACGTTTGCTGCATTAGAAGTTATGGGAGTATATGACGCTTCTAAAAATGTTCTTTGCTTTATTAGATACCTGGTGGAAAGAAATTTGAGTCCATGGTGGTGAACGGATTTGTTTGCACTAAGAATGTTGCACACAAAAAGGTAATGCAGGCTTAATTAATCAAGTGCTGGCCCTAGTGCATGCTGAGGAAACAAGTGTGCTGTGACTTCGTTTTTGTGTCATGAAGCTTCTCTCACCACTCAGGAGGTGTGCAAGCTTTCTCTAGTTTGAGACCCTAAACAAGAATGGCTTTTAAAGCATTTATTTTCCAAGCTGTTTGCTTTTAGTGCAGAGATTCTAGGGCAGGGGGAACTTTCCTCAGGCATGTATGGAAAAACATCCTTTCCAACCCTGACACGCCAGAAAGCATCTAATAATTACCCCAATTTTTAGCCAGAAAAAAGCATTTGTGGTTCTGACTTATGACAATATAGTGAGGTGAGCCTTTAAATAAGGCAGGAGGTCAAGATAGAAGTGATCTGCATGGAGGCTCCGAAGTGTATCAAGACTTTGGGATTCTTGGGGATGACTGTAGAAACCTCTAGGATTGTACTTGTACTGGACAGTAGCTGTGAAGTTCCAACAACTGGGTGTAACATCTTCATACGAAGGAAGAATGTGTAGTTGGGTCTGCAGGGGGAAAATAGCTGAGAGACTTTTTGGGTGGGGGACGGGGGGCGATCAATCATGGGAAGTCTGTCTTTTTTCTTGTGTGCTTTTTCTCTTCAAGGTGTTTGTATTTTTGTTTTAACTATTTTTATGTCTTTCTTAGATGAACTCTTGCTTAAAAAATCCCAAAATTCTTCTGCTGAAGTGCTCAATTGAGTACCTCTATCGAGAAGAAACAAAGTTTACCTGCATAGACCCTATAGTACTTCAGGTGAGAGCATGCTTTTGTTCTTGGTCAAAATTGCCCGGGGTTTAGGGATTCAAATAAAATGATTGGTACGCATCTGATTTTTTCAGTGTGTAAGGTGGAGTTGAGGGAGTTGGATTGCATAGGGAAGAGAAAAATTTCCTCTTCTACCAGCTAGCTAAGACAACTGGTGCAGTAAATACAGTACAAACTTGTAGTCTTGTGCTGAGGGTTTTTGTCATCAAGTTACACATACTGAGAGCGATCTTATGATCCTCACAATTAAATGCAGCATTTTAGAAAATATATTTTGTTTTTAATGATACACTGTATAAGGAACCTGTGGTTCAGAAGATCAAAACTAGATATGGTTTAGGTGCGTGAAGAAATATTAGAAAAGTTAGTATGGGTGAGAGTTAGGTTGCACCCATGTTATTTCTTGTCAGGCTTGAAAAAATGGGACAACAACCAACCTAATGAAGTGACAAACTACAAAATGTCACTTTGGAACAGGTACCTTGCCCCTGTGAGCAGGGAGGTGCCTTAAGTGTGAAAGCACTGAAATGGATAGAACTTTTCTTTAACACACTGCCTTCCTGTCTGAGAATCAGTCTTCAGGTGTTTGCCAGGATACTCGTAACAAGGGTATTTGGTGCCCTGCTGAGCTTTGGTTGTTTCCATATTAGACTATTTCCTTAGCATGCATTTAAGACCACTTCTGTTTGGTGATTAATAGACAGGATTACAGGGATGAAAGCTTTAGCAATAAAACTTGTCTCTGCCTAGGGAGTTAGTTTTCTAGTAAAAGGTTAAACTGAGACCTGTCCTTTGTCTGAATGGGGCAGAGGTATCTACTGTACTTTCTAAGTATTGCTCTCTGATTATTTCAGTGTCTGCTTCAGAACATGATCATAACTATTTATGTATCTACATTAAAGTCCTATAGGACAGAAAATACTACAGAAATACTAGTTCAATTGAAAAGGTTAGCTTCTAGCAAAAGCTTTATTTTTTTCTACACTAACATGAATGTGTGTTCCAAGGAGCTGGCAAACTGCTTTTGTGGTATCTTTCTCTTGCGCAGAACTTTTAAAACCTGACTGATGTGAGCTGCAATAACACAATTGAGAATTACTGGCTTGGGAAGCTGGATCCTCCCTCTAGCAGTGCAGGCCTTTGGTTCTGATAGAGTTACAGCCCTGCTTTCTCTTTCTGTGCACGACATGGGAGAGTGAGACAAAGCTGAAGGTGGGCATGATTGGAAGAGCAATTTTGCAGGGCACAGCATTTGGGGTCCCACTCCATAAACACTGTCCCCAAGTACAGATTTAGGGACTGAGGTTCTGTGTACAGACTTGTAGAGGCATAAAGCACTGGCATACTCTTTGTGAATGGAAGTGTCTCTGAGTGCCAGCACTCAGCACTAGCATGTATCTGAAGGTGGACAACATAATACTGCAAACAGCTTTGTTTCAGGATGCTCTAAATCTAGCACCTTTTAAACATAAAGCCTTTTCCATGTAAGGATGTAAGGTGCGTATATATATATGTTTATATTCTGCTGCTAGTCTCTTTCTTCAGACTGTCATTGGACTATATCCTCATGTGCAATTAGTGCATATAACAAATTACTGATCAAATGTGTGTTGTGCTGTGGGGGTGGAGAAATGTGCATGAATAGCAACTGGATAGCTGTTCTCCCTGTTTTATAGGAAAGGTCAGTATATAAATGAGAAAATAATAATAAGCATTTAAGTGTTTTTTCAGATGAGTTTGCAGTAGTTAACTGCCATACTTTGTTTCTGTCTGCAGGAAAGGGAGTTCTTGAAGAACTACGTACAGCGAATAGTTGATGTCAGGCCTAATTTGGTTCTTGTTGAGAAGACTGTGTCCCGAATTGCCCAGGACATGCTCTTAGAGCATGGTATCACTCTGGTCATCAATGTCAAGCCGGTGAGCGTTCCTTGTCAGAGTCAGACTGGGCCTTGTGGTGAATCTGAGTAATTTCTACTTGTAGCAACCTCCCTGGAGAAAGCAAAGAGTTGTCTTATTTTCTCCTCTAACCAAATCTGGGCTCTTTTTTTAACGGTACTTCTCTTCCAAGAAGGCAAGACAGGCAAACCTAGAGAGTAACTTTTCCTCAGCTCTTTGCAGCTACTCTGCTGTGTCCTTGTTTGGTGGGTCCTTGTACACTGGCTTGGTTCTAGTTAACTTGTAACTCCTATTTGTAGCAAATCCTGCATGGGTCCTCAGTGGTCCTCAGAGAGCCTCTCTGTCCCTGTGAGGCAGGGTGTAGACGGCCAAACAGAGAGCGGCTATGGGAATTAGCTGAGCTCCTGGTAACCAGTACTATGTTGACTGCACTGTACCTACTGGAACCATTTTCACTTGAACGGATCCAGGTATCTCCACGGAAGGGCACAATCTTACCTCTCACCAGAAATACTTACCCAAGTGCTTTTCTAAGATTCTTGTGTATTCTGGTTGTGTATTTGTGTGACCGGGCTTAACCCAGAGTCTGTGCCTCAGTGAGAGGTTTCCTGGATCACGCTGGCATTCTAAGAGCAAGCTAAGGATGTTAGTGTCCTCTTTGCACTGTAGGTTTTTACTGTTCTTTCCATTTTTACAGCAAGTGTTAGACCGAGTAAGTCGAATGACGCAGGGAGACTTAGTGATGTCAATGGATCAACTGTTGACCAAACCACGTTTGGGAACCTGTCATAAATTTTATATGCAAGTTTTTCAGTTGCCCAATGGTGAGTAAAGCTTGATGTATCTTAGCTTGTGTGTGTGAAAGGATCAATGCTTTGCTCCTCTTAACTAGATCTGAATTGCTGGGTGCCTTGTGTGATCAAGTATTATCCTTCCTACTCATTTTTCTTTACTTCTGTTAAATCTTGGAACTACAGTGAACTGGCTGTGGACACAAAAACATGATCTTACTAAGGTGAGAGACACTAGATTTTAATTAGACTGGCTTCTTCCTTCCAAACTGTTTCTTCTCTTCGCACCACCCTGGAGTTTATCTAGTCCAACTTCCTGTTCAAAACAGGAAAGATTAATTTCAATGCAGTATCAGATATCTGAGGACTTTGTCAGCCAACTTGTTGAACATACTGCGGAACAGAGATTTCATAGCCTGTCTGGGCACCTGTTCAGTTGCTTAACCATCCTCAGCATAAACGATTTTTCTACATAGAAACAGAGAATAATAGAATAGCCTATGTTGGAAGGGAGCTTGAAAGATCATCTGGTCCAACCTTAACATATCCAATCAAAATTTGCCTTGTTGCAACTTGTGCACACTGCCCTTTGTCCAGTCATTGTGCACCTTTGAGAAATCGGGTTCCTTTTTCCTCTGTAACCTCCTTTAGGCAATGGAATTCTGCAAAGGAAGAAGGAAGAAGTGCTGCTAGGCAGGTTAGCAGTGGTGCTGGCACACATATAAATACTGTTGATGCAGACCTTTGTGGAGATGCAGTCTTTGCATCTCTTCCCCTTCCACTTCTTAATGACCCCTTCCAGCCTTTAAATTGCAAAATCTTGCAGGCTTTTGAGTTGTAAGGATGAGCAAATATGCCTGGGAAGATAGTTGTTCTTTTGCTTCACTGCTGCAAAGTCTCCAGTGATCTAAATATGCTGTTTAGGCCAACATGTTCCATGTGGCCTTCACTTGGACTTTATGGTGACTTGTTTTACAAAACAGGAGAAGTTTTATAGCAAATGCTTGTTTTGCTTGCAAAAATAAGTTATTTCAGTACAGTGATGTGTGAATTTCTGCAGCTGGATTGTGCTACCAATGTTACTTGCTTTTAGTCCCTGTTACAGTCCTCTCAGTGTGTGAGATACCTAAGAACAGGCTAACTGTAGTTGTCGTCCTAGCTCCTATGTTTTGTTTTGTTTTCTTCTAGATCAGACAAAAACCCTGATGTTCTTTGAAGGGTGTCCCCAGCACCTGGGTTGCACTATCAAGTTGTGTGGTGCTGCAGAGTATGAACTGGCCCGTGTGAAAGAGATCTTGATCTTCATGGTCTGTGTGGCTTATCATTCCCAGCTGGAAATCTCTTTCCTTATGGATGAGTTTGCCATGCCCCCTACTCTGACCAAAAATGCCTCCTTTCACTCCCTTATTGAGGAACCAGGGGATGAAAATGAACAACAGAACCTCTTCAATGGTGAGGATTTCAGCACAGCAGTTAGAGACATTGAACTATCCTCTGAAAAGCTGCCTGTAATCTCTGAGTCAGTGTCCTCTGATGAGGTCAGCTTGCTTGAACAAAGAGGTTTATTTGAGAGAGATGACCAAGAGAACAGTCAACTGGAAACAGTGTCCTCAAAACAGCAAGAACATCACAAAGTGGAGTCACCATTTCCAGTATTCAACTCTGTACCTCCTGCAATACCTGAAACATCCCTGTTGCCCCTTCATGGCATGGACCAGCACTTGGTCACTCTGGATAGCCAGACACTAGAACCTCTTCAACAGGCAGATGATCTGGAGTCCAAGAGTCAGATGAGAGTCTTCAGAGACCCTCTTCAGGATGATACTGGTTTATATGTCATGGAAGAGGTAACTTCTTCTGAGGATCGTCTCAAGACTTACTCTGCAGCATTTAAGCAGGAGTTAAAAGATGTCATTCTATGTATTTCTCCTGTAATGGTGTTCCGTGAACCCTTTCTTTTGACTGAAAAAGGCATGAGGTGCCCTGCCCGGGAATACTTCCCTGAGCAAGTTTATTGGTCTCCTCTCCTCAATAAGGAATACAAGGAGTTGGAGAGCAGAAGGAAGAGACAATTACTGCGGGATCTCTCTGGACTACAAGGGATGAATGGGAGCATCCAAACCAAGGCTATTCAAATCTTACCTTCTCACGAATTGGTTAATACTAGAATAGCAGAACATCTAGGTGATAGCCAGAGCTTAGCCAGAATGCTGGCTGACTATCGGGCCAGAGGAGGGAGGATACTACATAAAAGCACAGATCCTTTTGCCCAAAGTAAGGATGTGTCTAACATCCCTACTGGAAAAACTGGGTGCAGAATTGAAGAAGATGAGAAGGGACTGGCTCAGAGTGAATCATCATGGTCTCATAAGGTAAGATTCAAAACTATGCTACTGAAAACCCAGGTTACATCGGTTTCTCCTGATAATACAGAAGGTGTAGTGTCTCATATTAAATGTTAAACCAGAGTGTTTGGGGCTTTTTTTGTTGCGGTTTTTCTTTTTTTTTTGACTGGGTCAAAACTGCATTTTAGATTGCAGTGCTCTGGGCGCTTAAAAGTCAATATAATCAGGCACTGTGTGGATATACGAAAGCAGAACAAGAGACTGACTGCGAAATTTCCCTGAGAAGGGAAGAGGTTGTGAGACTCCGCTTTTTGTGAAATGTGCGAAGTCAGCCAAGAATTAAGTGTATTACATTGCCTGTTCAGCTCAGCTGTACATGACTGATTTCTGAAAATCAGTACATGAAAGGGGAGCAAACTTAAAGAAGTTTCTGAATCTGAGCTTTCTTGCCTCTTGTATTGGTGATTTCTAAAAGTGTAATATTTTCATCTTCAGAGGCTTAATGTCATGGAAACAGCAGTAGGCTGTAACTACATGAAAGTATTTGTTTGTAGAAGTTTGGATTTTCTGAAGAAATGTGGGAATCTCATAATGGGAGTGGGGAGAATCTTCTTTGAATTTCAAAGCAAGGCATTATGTACTTGTAATCAAAGTATTTAAAGTTTTGGGAAACTGCCATGGAAGCAACTAACTTGTATTTGAGGAAAAGGATTTCAGGACTTTCTTGAACTGGAAGCTGTTCAGGAAAAAGGTCTATGAATGGGAGCAGCAAAACTGGTCTCTTGAAGTAGTCAAACATTTTGGTCCCTGAGCCAATCAGCCCCCAAGTTCATGAGCAGAAGTCACTTTTTACTTTGTGCTCAAATTAAAATCTGTGTAGCTTCACAGACCATAATCTTACAAACTGTAAGACTAGCCCTTGCACTGGATCAGAACTGGTTGATGCTGGTTTAGATTTATTCAATGATCAATGAAAAGTATTTGGTAACTTCATAGTTCTGCAGGGTGTAGAAGGGGAAACAACTCCAGTCCAGCAGCAGTGTGGTAAATCTCTTCACAGACAAGAGAAAGTTGGAAGTCTTCCTATGGTCTGAATAAGTAATTGAGTTATAATAGATTATCAGAGTTTTGACTCCAAGGTGTCTTAAACAGTACAGTGCTTTGGAGACTCTGGATGTTTGTTTCAGGGCTTTTGTTGTTTTCTGTTTCCTTTAGCTTCCTTTCCACAGAACACATGTGTGTGCATTGGTTTCGTTATGCATATTAGTTATGCTGTTCTAAAAATGGCAGTTAGCAATTATACATGGTACAAATCTACCTGAAGCTCAAGAGATAATGCAAGGTTAATCTGTACAATGGGAGCAATCAGAGATTTCTCTGTAAATAAAACTACTAGAATAGGATTTTGTCATCAGGAGTTGTGCATAGATGGACGTGTCTGTAACCAGTAAATGAGTTGTTTTCTCTCTACCAGGTGGATTGCCTGAGTCCAGTAAACCATCAGAGGCTCTGTGTTCTCTTCAGTAGCTCTTCTGCTCAGTCCAGTAATGCTCCAAGTGCCTGTGTTAGCCCCTGGTATGAAAACTACTCCTCTACAGCTTGTGTAGTTGCTATCTTTTTTCCTAAGTCAAGGTCAGTGTTTGCCTCATAGTGGTATTTCTTTGAGGACTCCTTGGTATGTTGTGCCCATCCTGTAATAGGAACTGTTGCCAAAATAATTTTGTCTTGCCTGGTCAGATGGATCCAGAGCAGTATCCTGTAGCCTTTGTAATCCCCAAGGCATGAATGAGAAAGCTCAGCCTAAAACTGAATGCTTTAGTTCGTGCTTTCACTGCAGAGTAAGGTATGTGTGGGGAGGGCACTGCATGCAGTCTTGTGGGGAAGAGTTAGTGTATATAAGCAAAGAAGAATGTCCAAACCAAAAAATAAGCCTTGAGAGAATCTCAGAATACTTCTATATTGTATTATCCGAGAGTGGTATTTGAATATATTGCTATTTTTCTCATATTATAGTCAGCGGCATTTAAGAGCTTTAACTGTATTTCCAGCTTAGGGGACTGTAATGTGTTAATTGTGTGCGATTTATGACACGCTTCTAGCTCTACTAAACAGGACAGGTTGTGGTGTTTCATCATCTAGCTCAGGTGAAAATACAGAGATGGCTTGCTTTCTGGGAAAGATCTAGAGTTCCTGTAAAAGTTTAGGAATGAACCAAAGAAGGTGGTGATAAACTCACTAAACAGCAACAATAAGAGGATGTAAGTTACTGATATTAGAGATGTCTGAATTGTGACACTTAAACTAATAGTTACACATTTTAAGTGGCTTGATCACCTCAGGTTCTGAGAAAACAGAAGTTGCTATTAAATCTTCAAGAAGAATAAGGTTTTCTTAAGGCTTTTTTCATCTTCTGGATGTACCCTTTTTGTAACTGTTTAAATGTTAGTGTTTGAGGCTTCAAGCTATCGAGACTTCTGTGTCTAGATATTCTTGAACACAGTCTTCAAAAGTCAGTTGAATTGTATTTGAGTTTTAAATGTCATGTTTAAAGTTGCTCTAGTAGGACTCTCATCTCATTATTAGCAAACTTGACAAGAAGGATCTAAGAAGTGTAGTCAACAGGGAAAAAAAGCCTTTGAAGGTATACAAGGCTGAAAACAAGCCAGTAGTGGGTGCAGATCTGTGCACCTAAAGGCCATTGCACAGCTAACAGTGGCAGCATCCACCTTCTAAGGTTTTTCTTTCTCTGCTTTAGGATTGTGACCATGGAGTTCTATGGGAAAAATGACCTGACTCTAGGGATTTTTCTGGAGCGCTACTGTTTCAGGTGAGGAGGAACTTATTCTAAATTTCATTCTAAACAAAACAAAAGCTTTTGATAGCCCTGTGAGGCTGACCTGCCACCCTCTTCATAGACTGCATTTCCTGTGCACTTAGGAGAATAGCGTGCAAGTCTGCAGAACTGGTTGTGTGCTTACCACTTAAATCTGTTGCTTTCTTTACTTTATTATCATGCTGTAGTGAGACAGGAACTGGGTTTAAGAATTCACTTATGCTCACTTCTTACAAGCAAGTACATCCACTGCTTTCCCACTGCAGCCCTGTCTTTGTTACTTCCTTTAATAAGGAAGTGGAACAGATTACAAAACAAGATTTACAGGTTCATAAAGACAAATGTGTTCACTTAGCAGTTTCTTGTAATGATTAGGGCTCTAAGGGCCTAGTTAAGAGTCTGAGCATGTATTCCAAATGACTGTTTTTCAAGATAAGCAACTGCACTGATTGCAATTTTCTGAGGTTCCTACTTGACCTTTTGTATGAATTATGGAAAAAAACCCTACTCCTTTGGTATTATCTGAACATCTCAGAGTAAGGCTTTATCATATGTGAAAGGTGGCTAACGTAAATGGGCTAGAACACTTTTAGCACTGGCAAAGTACTGTGTAATTTATTTCATCTGACAGAGGTGCAAATCGTTATGTTTCAGTAATAACCAGTACTGCCAGAACCCCATAGAGAGTCTCAGCAGGCTCTGAAGCTGGATAGGTAGCCTGTGGATCCTCAAAAGACAAGATTACTCAGTTCTCTCTATTGGCCACTTGCAGTGGCAAAATGCTCTTAATGTTCAGCCTTCTCTGGAGGAACAAGTATTTTTCCATGTTCTGATCAATGAGGAGGAAGAGCTTAGATGACCACTTTCAAGTTCTTGATTGCTGACTAGCTAGTGTGTGCTAAAGTGAATGCTTCTCAATCTCCATAGTTTCAGTAATTAAAATTCCTTTTTTTTATATGAGCAAGGTCAATCTGGGCCTTTTTTTAGGCTCTTTCTGTTTTTTAAGAATTCCATATTCTACTTTAGTACCTAAATAATTCAGCTTTTATTTTTCTAATGCCAGTCTCTCTTCCCTGACTTAAAAGAAAACCATCCAAAGAAAGGTCACCGGCTTTTCCTTCAAAGAGGCTATATGGCACTATTTTGCTCGCCTCCTCCTTCAGGAACTGGAACATTACCATTTTGAAGGCTCTTTGGCACATCTTTGTCCTCAGTAGCCTTTGCTCTGGTACACTGCCAAAGTGATCTTCTAATTTGGTGCCAGGACTATATGGAATATGGTGGTATAACGTGATTAATTGTAAAAACATGGTGATAACAACCAGTATTCAGTCACTGCTTTTGGGACCTATACAGCCGTTGCTGGCAAGGAAACTTCTCTACATGCTATTTCTAAATGAGTACAACTCACTCTTCAGAAAGAGCCTTTGCTAAAGACTTAGGAAACTTTTACAGTAAAGATAAACAGTACTGTGATATTAAAAGGCATGTTAGATATGTTGAATGAGTTCTTCAGTAGTGCCTAGCGTGTGATCATTCATAAGTGTTTCCATTTCTCTCTATAAGGCCTTCCTACCAATGCCCCAGCATGTTCTGTGAAACACCAATGGTGCACCACATTCGTCGCTTTGTTCATGGGCAAGGCTGTGTGCAAATTGTGTTAAAGGAGCTGGACTCACCAGTCCCTGGGTACCAGCACACCATTCTTACTTACTCCTGGTGTAGACTGTGCAAACAGGTAAGGAGATGGAGTTGAGAATCATTACTCTTCCCATTTAGTATTCCTGTTGTGACTACCCTTATATGGAAAGGCAGCATTTTTGAGAAGGTGAGCTATGGCTAAACTAGCACAAAACCTGTTACTGATCCAGATGTTCTTGCATATCTACAAATTCCTCTTGTAGAACTGGGGCTGTTGAGGGTGAAACATCTTGTGTGAAGTAGTCCTCTTGGAAATTGTCAAACCTGGCTTTGAGAGGATAGGTTTAAGTGGAGCTGATATATTGCTGGAAACTAATTTCTGACACATGGAAAAAATGGAGTTGCCCTCATAAAGATGAAGAATATGGTCCCTTACGTGCAGTGGATCAGTACGAGCATCAAAAGAATGCATGTATGGGGAAGGGCAGACACCGAGACCTACTGGCTTAGTAATTGGCTAAAACCACTTGGCATTCTTTGATCTGCTATAGACTGGACAGTCTGCATTGCATCATGTGATGTCTAGACTTCCTTTAATAGTCGTTAGAAAGTAAGTAAAATCTTTGTTAGAGGAATGATAAATTACTTTAAAAAAACAAAACAAAACAAACCCACACAAGATAGTAAGATTGTGTATTATCTGAAACTTGTTCTGTAATTTAGCAGAGAAAACATCAGCAACTGGATACTCATCTCTAGCTAAACATTGTAAAACTTAAGATCCTTCAAAGAGATGAGCATAAAACTTAATTAAAAAAGATTCATGCAGTGTCTGTAACGCAAAACATCTCAATTACCCATGTGGATGACTCAATTCACCTACTTACGCTAGCTTAAATGTGGGTGTTGGATTTAAAGGTACCTGGAGGAAGTTAATGTAATTGCTGAAGGCAAGCCCTACACTGCTATGTATACACCTGTTCTATAACCTTTTATTTCTGTGTGCTCATGTAAACACTAATATATTTGTGGCTATTAAGTATGTATTAAGCTGTGACTACTCTACGCTTGCAAGCACTGCTGAAGTCGAAATACACTGCAGAGCAATACCAACATATTTGTAGCTGAAGAATCACAAGGGAAAAAGTATGTGATGAAACCACTGCTGCTGACTGAGTGGCTGAAAATTGTCTATGCAGAGAAATAGCATCCCAGATACAAGCTTCTGTCAAGGATATGTTTGCACTCCCCCGACTTAGCATCTGTCATCATCAACTAGCAGTTGTTGTTTATCCTATTTATTGTAACTATGTGTTGGCCTTAGCTTTGCATAAATGCTATCTTTGTTGCTTAGTATGTATTAGGGTCATGGGTGCTTCTGGTACTAGAAATACTAGATTGCTGTCTAGTTTAGCCTGTCCTTAGTCTTGGTTGAAGAGTGAAATTGAGACACTTGGCTTTCAATTTTTCAGGTGACACCGGTTGTTCCCCTTTCCAATGATTCTTGGTCTATGTCTTTTGCAAAATACCTTGAGCTGAGATTCTATGGGCACCAGTACACTCGAAGGGCCAATGCAGAGCCTTGTGGTCATTCCATTCACCATGACTATCACCAGTATTTTTCCTATAATCAGATGGTGGCATCTTTCAGGTGAGGTCCACTGCTAAAAACTTCCTTCATTCTCTCTAGTACGATGTGAAGCATATAGCTCTAGTAAGGATTCATCAGGTCTGTAGTTCACTTTGAGTCTAGCATGGGATAGCATACTGCAGTATAACCACAGGTGCAGGATTGTGTGCTGGCTTGCAGAGGGCATTGTGGGTGCCACCACTGTCCTGGATGAGGTGGATGGGCAGTGTTCCTAAGAACAGATGGCTCCCATTCATGATCCAGAAGGGAAACATTTTTCCCTGTCTAATCTCAAAAACTTTTAGAACTTTGTTTTTGCAATGTGGTCTGTGGTTTTACTTTTTGCCTAGGAGATAAATGAGCAGGGTGTTATTGCTCCTAAAAGTAACTGAAGCCCTGGCACTATTGAGAGTGCCCCTTTTCGTATAAGGGCCACAACTGCAATATGGTGTAGAATTAGTACTATGTGGGGAGAGTCTTCTTAATAGCTGTTGTATTGCTTTCTCAGCTACTCTCCAATCCGGCTACTTGAAGTGTGTGTCCCACTCCCCAAGATCTACATCAAACGGCAGGCTCCATCAAAGGTTACTATTTTGCAGGATCTCAAGGATTTCTCTCAAAAGTAAGCTTTGTTTTTAATGCTTTCCTCAGCTTATTTGTATTTTGGGCTCTTATTAGCAGAAACAAACCCATTTTTGTTATTATTGCTAAGACTTGCCAAATATTCATTATTTAGTAGAAAAGTAATGGTTTTAAACACATTTATATGTACGTATACTTCTAAGGGAGGGTGGTATTAGGATCTTCTTTATTGCCTTTACCTGCTCTGTCTGTACTAATCTCTCACCTTTTCATCTGGTGGTAATTCAGCTTAAATGTAGCCAGTAGAAACTAAGATGCTTCTCTTCTCCATCCTTGAATGTTGCACTGGAATTTCAGTGATATAGCAAGTTTCTGAATGATGTTGCCAAGTAGCCACTGAGAGGCTGACTATCAGCTGATGTCTGAAATGTCACCTTTTCTTACAAAATGCCTTCTCAAGCACAGCAAAGTATTTCTAATTCCTCCCTCTTAATGCTAAAAATGGAACAGAGGAGGTGGTCCTAGAAGGCTTAATCTGGAAACTGCAGGTAACACTTTGTACCCTTTCTCTAACACTCCTTTTTGGAAGATCTGGCCAAGTTTAAATCCTGCCTTCAGCCCAGAAAAACTGCAAAGTCATTGCTCAGATCTATTGTCCAAACAAAACTGGTTTCATTACATTGGTCATATGGCAACTAAACTCTCTGGTGTGTAGAAGACATTGCCGTTGTTACCTATTAAATACGGTAACAGCAGTCTGGTACCTTCTTGTATTTTAAATGCCATAAGCCTAGATGCATTCTAAGTGTAGGAACAAAAAAGTGGGAGACAGCCAATGTGGAAACTGTATTAAATCCAGCCTGACTGCTGTTCTGCCTGGTGCCAGCATTCCTGTATGGCTGATGTCTCTGTGACCGCCTGACTCCAGAGCTTGTGGAGCTTTGTTTAGAGCTGAAGTAGAGGTGCTCACTCTGACTGTCTCTGGGCCCTTCGAGTGGAGGTGTAGCTTGCAATCCCAAATTCTTTCTAGACACAAATGACACAACAGTTCCCCTCTGCTAGTAATGTGTTTGACCTTTGTGTTGCTCTCTGATAGCTTTTACTACTAAGAATAAGTTGTGAAGAGGCATGTCAGTGTGTGTAACTTGGTAGGTTTCTGCTGTACTAATGAGTGTTTCTCCAACTTTCCCTGTAAACTCAATGGGACAGCCTACTGTGCAGAAGACTGTCATATATTGTCTTTTGTATTCTTACACACTAACCACAAGTGGATTCAGACTTTTCTTAAAGAACGTTGAAGATGTTCCAAGTAGTCATAGCTTAACTCTTTGCATCCCTGTTGACAGGGTGTCACAAGTGTATCTTGCTGTTGATGATCGCCTTGCCTCTCTGAAAACAGATACTTTCAGCAAAACGAGAGAAGAGAAGATGGAAGATCTCTTTGCCCAAAAGGAGGTAATGGACTATTTCTGCATTAGCAGACCATATGCTGCAAAGTGTGTGGAGAAGCCACTCTGATCTAGTGTCATCTCTGGTCACAGAACGCTGACAGTTTTTCTTTTGGCAGATGGAAGAGGGGGAATTTCGAAACTGGACTGAGAAAATCCAAGCAAGACTGCTTTCATCATCATTAGACACACCTCAACAGCTGCAATCTGTTTTTGAGTCATTGATAGCCAAAAAGCAAGGACTTTGTGAGATGCTGCAAGCCTGGAATAATAGGTAAGAGGACACATGTAGGAATCATGAGCAGCACTGATACTGTGTTGGTTGTAGAAGGGAAGAGGTTCTTTTGTGCTTTCTCTCCCTGTAGTGCAGTTGCTGTATAGAGTGTGTTATAACAGCTTGTGCTGAATGTCTTCTACTGGTTAAGACCACAGAGCTGGTTGATTGGAACAGAAAATCATTTGAGGCCAGATAATAAAAGTACTGTGTTGTAGAGAACAGCTTGCATCTGAGAGGAGAAAGTGTCATTTGAATAAAGGTGGAAGAGGGGAGCAGGGGAAAGCAATTAATTGAATGAAATTATCTCAGAAGTGAAGAAAATGTTCTGGTTTTGGCCGTTTGAAACATAGCTTTGGCACATGTTAACAACCATCTGAGTTTGCAGTAAAGAATTGTGAAGGCATGCTTGGCTATATTCTAGTATGGAGAAACTTCATAACTTGAGCCTTTCAGAACTAATACCTGTAACCTATCTTTTGATTAATTTTTCTTTGGGTTTGTTTTTGTGGTGTGTGTTGGGTTTTTGGGGTTTTTTGTTTTAAGATTACAGGATCTCTTCCAGCAAGAGAAAGGGAGAAAACGTCCATCAGTACCACCCAGCCCTGGGAGACTGAGGCAAGGTGAAGAAAGCAAGGTACGAGTAGCAGGCTAGAAGCTACTTAAACTTTTTTCTTCCCTCTGGGGCAACACAATAGTCTTAAGACTCTCTTCAGTTCACTTAGTAAACTTGTTTTACTGCATCATGTAGCTTTCAGCTGTAAAAGCTTGAATTACGGGTTAGTATATGTATCTTTTCCTAAAGAAGTGAACCAAGAGCCATATTACACAGAAGATTAAGTATGAATAGGATTTGATGATTTTCTGTGGTATTCGTGTAGTTTGTGTAGTGTTATCTGAATACTGACAGTGGAGAGCTGCGCTTGTTGTCAGATGTATGCCTAAATAGGAAGCAGGTCACCTTGTTGGACCCTAGGTTGTTGCCCACCAGGTTTATCCCTTGTGAAAAAGAAAAGGCAAAAATTGTCAGGAGAGGCAGAGCAAAGAACACAGGAAGGACTGATAATGAATTTGTAGGTTCATCTCTGTTCTGTTACGTGTCCTGTGGGAACTGGCTGAGGGGAGGTATAAATGATTTTGGACTGCTGCCTCAAGAGCTCTGACTAAGGGTACAGTTGCCAGCATGCTGAACAACCACCCTTTGGGGAGGTGGTACTCTGAGAAAATGTCCAGGCTGCAAGGCAGTACAGTGTAAGTATTGTACTAAGAGGCTGAACTCCCAATACTTCTAATGTTAGCAACGTGCACTAAGAAGCCCGATGATATCCTGGATTTGCTCTGCTACATGCATGCATGTCCTGTCCACTTAATATATATTTGTTAGATGTTAAAATACACAGAACCGTGATCTAGGAGTGAGTAGGTTTATAGAGGAAGAGTGTAGTCTTTAAAGCAGCATACAGAGGTGACAGCAGTCATAAGCATCTTGTGAAGCTGGGTTGCTGTTGCCTTGTCTTTTTTCATGTGGTGGCAGATACAGTGACAGTGCAGTGGGTGGCAGTGCTCTGTTGTGGTACATCTACTTTTGCAAGTGTTCCACAGAGGAAGGGATACAGCTATAAAGCGCTTGGCATAATCATTGGTATTTTGTTATTCTGCCTAGGTCAGTAGTGTGGATGCTTCCCCACGCAATGCTTCTCCAGCACTGCAAAATGGAGAAAAAGGTCTGTTGTTTGTTTGTTTATTCTTCTTAGGCTACCAAAAGAAGCTTGCTGCAACCCTTTCCCTGACATAACAAGGGAGCCTTTGTCAAATTTGGTAATTTAGAGAAACTGTGAATCCCCATTGTGTCAGATTTGAATAAGCCAATTTTTAGCTCGCTGTTATAAAAAGCACGGTCTGCTTCTAATGTGAAGCTGAATTACTAATGATACTAAATTGGCCAGCAAGGGTCTTCCTTTGAACTTGTCTGAAAACTTTCAGAGGCTTTCTAAATAACTAGGTAACTATGTGGAATTTGGGAAATGCCTCTCACCTCTTCTGTGAAGTGGTTATGGGTGTTGAGACCTCTTACCTATAAGGCATACTGAGAGTTTGTGGGAACTGAAGGTAGTGGGTATAAGTGTATACATCTTCTAGAGATTATGTGCTACATTGATCAGCTTGCCCATTCCTTTGCTCTGGGTGGCATTACCTGTTTCCTAAGTAAAAACTTCTTGAAAGTAGGCACTGGTGATAGTTTGGCCTGGGAGCAAGCAGTACTACTTCTGACAACCGTGTAAAATGCTTTCTTCTGTCTTTAACTGTCCTTGTACTCTTAGAGGATCGTTTCCTGGCTACTTTATCAAGTCAAAGCTCTGCAGGCTCCACCCATCTTCAGCTGCCCACCCCTCCAGAGGTTGTATCGGAGCATGTGACTGGTGCCAACACTCTGTCTGAACAGGATACAACAAGCAGCTCAGAAGGTATAGTTCAGTTGTGGTCTTGTATTCTTTCTCTTGCTTCTCTGTGGCAAATATATGAGATCCACTTAGGAAATGGCAAATCTGGTAGCTGTGGTCTGCAACCTTCCTTCTGAATTTACAGCTTGAAGTTTGATATTATGATGCAGATTTAACTTAATCTGTGTTCCAGATGTGTTTGATGGACACTCACTGGGATCTACAGACAGCCAAGTGAAGGAGAAATCTACTATGAAAGCTATTTTGGCTAACTTTTTGCCTGGAAACAACTATAACCCCATTCCATTTCCCTTGTAAGTACTGCATGATATCTATGATGCACAAAATTAGGAGCCTGATCAAACTGCAGAGCCGTGCATGTTGCTTTTGCTCAGTATATAATGTAAATCATCACTTGGGTTTGCCTATGAATAAGCAATAGAACTTTGTCGAGGTAAGAAGTTTTCTGTGTCCCTTCTAGGTGTTTGTAGGTTACCTGCCTTTCTTATTAATGATCCACTCTTGTGCATATACACTATCAGTTTCTCCTCCTCCTAGCAGGCATGCTTCCTCAGAAAGCTTGTAGGAGGAGAAGCGGGGGGAGGGGGAGAAAAGTGCCTTCTAACTTCATTGCTACAGGGAGGGAGCAGAAATGTCCTTCCTTAGCAAACACTTACTAAAGCTGTGTGCCTGCTTCTTGTTTTTGCTTCCAGACCTCTTCCAAGGGTTGGACTCAAATTGGCATTGTCTGGGTGTAGGTCAGGTTCAATGGCTACTGCATGTGCCCTCAAGTCCCCCTCTCATGTGAAAATGGGCCGGCTGGAAAGTCTTTCAGCTACTTGGTCTGCGTGCTTTGTGGTGTTTCTTGTTTGACATGAGCCTAACGTTTGGCAGCCTGAGTTTAACTTCTGAATCCTACCCTAGGGTAGTAGTGGAATCCATGGGCTAATGAGGTGAAAGTTAAATGACTGGACCCTACAGATAAGTAAAAGAAAATCTTACAGAAATGCAGGAGGCTTTTGGGAATTTTCTGTGCTAAACTGCTTGTTCAGAAAAGAGTCCAGGTTTGTCCTGTAACTTCACTCTGCAGGCTGTGCTGCAGGACAGTCAAAACAAACTCAGATTTTGGTGCCATTAGAAACAGTGGCTGCTAAACAGAAATGGACTCTTACTCTAACTGGGAGCTGGTGTTCTGATATAAGCAGCTTGCTTGAAGTGTTGATTGCCCTAACACATTACCATTTAGATTTAACCACATAGCTATGAACGTGTCTATTGGGAGAAGCTGATCTGGGGAGCTTTGATTCCATGCTGAGACTTGCAGCTTGTGCCTGGGATTGCAGTGATGAGATCTGGGTTTTGACCAAAACTTAACCTTTTCTTTTGACAAACTTTTACAATGTACTAACAGTCTCCCTATGTTGTTGTCATTTAGTGACCCGGATAAGCACTACCTAATGTATGAGCATGAACGTGTACCTATTGCAGTCTGCGAGAAAGAACCAAGCTCCATCATAGCTTTTGCTCTCAGGTACTAATGTGATTTTGCTGTTCATCTGGCACATGTACTTCTGCATCTTTCTGTACAAGGAATATTTAAATCCTAATGATAGGGAACAAGCATGACAAGATTTCTTCACTCAGCTGTGTTGAGTTTCTGCCAGAGCTGAAGTTCTTTCCTCTTACTACTGAGATACGGAAAGTAGGTTTTCCAACTTGGAACTAGATTTTTGGGCTTTTCTTGCCAAATTCTAGTACACAAAAATGAATTAGTTATGTAGTGTCCCCTGTAATGTGATACTGTTAGAGAAGGAAGTGCAACTAAATTTTGTTCAGCTCTCCAGCCTGGAGGAAGTGCAACTGAGCTAGGGAACAACAGTTAGGTGTTCATACTGCAGTCTGTCCCTTACCTACCTTTGGCCGTAGCAGCTCCTGCTACTACTCAGCTCTCCAGACCAACTACTTCAGTAAATCTTGGGGTTTGTGTGTCACAAGGCAGCAGACTTTTAAAGAAGTGCGGGAGAGGGAGAAGCAAGGAGGGGATTTTTCCTGCAGTAAGATCTAGAGCAGCTTCTGTTCTAAGGGAGCTAAGTTCTAATTGTAGAAAAAATGAATGAGAGGTTTTTCTACTGTGGATTTTTGTTTCCTGTTGTTGTCTCTGAATGGAATCTTTGGATTGGTGTTGCAGTCTCCCAGAGAACAACTGACTCTCTTATCTTTTTTTTTTTTTTTTTTTTTCCCTTTTTTCTTTTTCTTATTTTCCTTTTCCCTTCAGTTGCAAGGAGTACAGAAATGCCCTGGACGAGTTGTCCAAAGCATCTCTGAAGAACAGTTCCGAAGAAGGACTACAGCTAAACAGGTTACATGCAGGAATTACAGTACATAGAGCAAAGACTCAGTGATTGTAGTGAATAACCCAAAAGTAGGATGGGGAAGGACCCTCAAAATATGCCTCTGTTAGGATTTCTGCTTTCTGATGGAATCTGAAACATTCCATGTAACCAACACATACTTGCAGTATCTGTGTTTCCATTTCATGTCAGGGACTGTGCTGGCTCCATCACCTGATCCCTTGACTGTGTACATGGTAGGGATTACTGGGTCTGCTTACCTTTCCTGTAGCGATGGATGGAACCGTTAAAATAGAGACCCAAGACGTTTTTCCTCAGGGTGGTGGAGGAGGACAACTTTGGAGAGTCCCACACCATTACAACTTTAAACTCTTTCTTCTTCATGTAGCAGTACTTAGTGTTAGGCATGAAAAAGAAATAAATGTACAGAAGTAATGCAATAGTGTCTTGGGTGGCAGTATTTGTTGGGCTCCTGACTTTTTTTTCTTTCCTCTTTCAGCATGTCAGACAGCAAACCAAAGAACAGTAGCCCTGTCCGCCTGCCTGAGGCTAACATGGGTCCTTCAAATCGCAATGCAGAACCAGAACAGCGTAAGACCATTTTACCAAAATCATATCCATGATGCTAATCTCAGCTCAGACTTGAGTCCACTTAACCTGGGTTCTAGCTCTTGTGAAAGTTAAGTTAGAACAAAGAAAAGGCATTCTTGAGTTGAAATTGTGACTTAGAGTTGACCTGATGTAGAATGTGGGGGAGAGGGGTGTGTGTTTGTTTTTTGAAGTTTGTGCCCATGGCTTTTTCTGATTCTCTTGAGATCAGACTATCGTTCCCATGATTTCATATGTCATGATGTAGTGGACCTTTGGCTGTTCTTGAGTCTAGCCTATTCAGTGGGGTATGATGCCCATAATATGTTCTGACCTCTTTTGGCACTGCCTTCTTTAAAAAGATAGCAATTAAAATATTTTGAAATGGAGAAGTGAGGTTCTTACTGTGTTAAAGATGCTTATGCTTGGTCTGTGTTTTCAAATGACTTAGCATTCCAGAATGCTACTCAGAACACTAAATCAGGTAACCTGATGGACCTTGGTTGCCTGAAGAATAGCAAATGAGTTACAGTTGAATGGTATCATTCGTCCAGTTAGAACACTGAATGGAGAATGCTTGTGTAAGTCATGCTTTTGTTAAACTGCCTGTGGAAATGCCAAGGCCAACTTCTTTATTCCTTTTCACTGTAGCAAAGAAACCATCTGGTGTTTTGTCTTTCTTCCGTGGCACGGGAGGGAAGAGCCCAGACCTGTCTTCCCAGAAGAAAGAGACCTTACGTGGTGCTGACAGTGCCTACTACCAAGTTGGACAGATGGGCAAAGAGGGAGGAGAAAACCAAGGAGCAGAGCCTCAGGGTACGACTGTTGAGTCTATCTTCTGTCTTGGACTGTTACTTCTCCCAAACCTCATTCATACCTGCAAGGCCCAGAATGCTCATACTTTTTCAACAGTCCAAGGTCACTCAAGATGCCTTGAAAATTAATGATTTGAGCATCAAACATAGGTTTCTCCTAAAGACATTGCTTTGCTTTATGAGAAGAGAAATAGTCTTTCAAACCCTGGTAACTGCTGGGACATTGAGTAGTCTTAGCTTGAATGCCTTTGGACTGAGTTGACACTAGTTAAGCAGACCAGTCTCTCTTCCTTACTTTCTGTTTAACTTGCATTGTTTCAGCTTATGGAAAATTAATTAAGAGAAAGAGAAAGCTTGTACTTGTGTCCCAAGAACAGTGTTGCCCTTCTAGCATGTATATTATCATACAATTATAGCTGTATCTCTAATTCCTTATGTATCGTTCCCTCTATATTCTTGAAAAAAGAAAAGATTTTTCTTGTAATGTGAGTTTACAAGTAGTATCTCACGTGATTTTCGCAGTAATAATAATGAACAACCCTGTCTGAATGGTCCCTTTATGCCTTCAGATGATGTAGATGGAGGAGATGGACAGAAGAAACAGCTGGTGAATCCCCATGTGGAGCTCCGTGAGTAGTTGTAAATAATAACTTGAAGTCTTATCTGACAAACCGCTTTCTTTGTGCGAATGTAATGGAAATCTTGAAGTTAATAGTTATTTTTTCTTTGTATTGGGCATGAAGGAAAAACAAATCAGGAACGGAGCAGTGCAATCTTTACTTACTGTAATCAATCTCTCTGTTGTAAAAATACCCTGTAAAACTTTTTTTTTTTAATTAGTCTTTTGTCTGGACGCTTTCCCATGGCATACACTGTGAGCTAACCTAAATAGGTTTGACTTTCCTGTAAGTTTTCTTTTAAATCCTATTGGTTTAAACTTCAAAGTACAATAGGTGTGAGAGGGATGTTTAGCACAATAATATTCTTCCAGACATCGGTAAAATCTCTTGCATGTCATCTCAAGTAGTCAGTGAGCATTACATGCTGTTATTGAAGAAGACCTTTTTTTTTGCAGAGTTTTCAGATGCGAATGCCAAGTTCTACTGCCGGATTTATTATGCTGGCGAGTTTCACAAGATGCGTGAAGTGATACTGGGGAGCAGTGAAGAGGACTTCATCCGATCCCTCTCTCACTCTATGCCCTGGCAGGCCCGAGGTGGCAAATCTGGGGCTGCATTCTATGTGACTGAGGGTAAATGCAGCTTCTTTCACCTTTGTAATTAGAGGGTGTTATTTGGGGATGATGGTGGTTAGTGTGTCGTTTAATCCCTGATTACCTCTAGTAAGAGGGTTGCTGACTGTGAGTTGGCCACTCAGAATGGAAAGTTAAATGGATTTTTCTGGAGTCTTCAATATCAGATTATTTGTCTCTTTGTATATTGTATATGCAGGAGAACAGAATGTGGTTCTCTTTTTCAGGAGAAGCAGCTATGGAGGCTGGTTGAGCAGAAGGGTTGTATTCTCTTAGGGAGGCTTCAGAAAACAAAAATTTAAGTATAATTTTAGGAAAAGTGGTTATTAAAGACACAGTGTTTCTTATAATCCCACAAGCTATAGTTGATTTATAGGAATATTTTTTTTTTTTCCATTCCTTCTGGAATGGAAGGGTCTGTAGGCTGTTTCTGTTGTCTGTATAAGAAGCCCATATAGCTGAGGTAAATCTAACTTAGGCAGTCTCTTCTCTCTGATTTGCTAGAAGACTGAAGTCCATAAAGGATGGAATTCTGAAATTCAGAATATATGAAGTAAAAAAGTTTCTAGAAACGAGCTTCTGTAGCTAAGAATTTAAGAGAATTGTAGTCCTTTAACTTTTCAAACCACTTCAGCTATGTGACAGTCCTAAAGGACTTGCAGAGAATACATCACTTACTGTATGTAACCCTGTTGCCTCTATCTGATGTTAAAACAGATGATAGATTCATCTTGAAGCAGATGCCTCGTCTGGAAGTGCAGTCGTTCCTTGACTTTGCTCCACACTACTTCACTTACATCATTAATGCAGTTCAGCAGAAGGTATTTTTTTTTTTTTTTTCCTAAGAGGGAGAAAGGAAAAAAGTGCCTCTTATTTTAGGTCGTGTTCTATATTTTACAGACTAGTAACAGTTTCCATTAGCCCCTTTCATTTAAGTAAAAGAAGATGTCAGAGGGTATGAGTTGTACTAATAATGTGTTTTTAAGATGAAAAGTGGGAATTTTGCTAGAGCTTATAAGCTGTTATACACAGAAGAGTGGTGGCTCTAGTGTTTGATTGTTGATTAGCTGTATGCAGATATCTTACCCCATGTCTTCTCTTCGTCAGAAGCCCACAGCACTCGCCAAAATCCTTGGGGTATATCGAATTGGATACAAGAACTCTCAAAATAACACTGAAAAGAAGCTGGATCTGCTTGTCATGGAAAACCTTTTCTATGGCAGGAAAATGGCTCAGGTAAGAACCAAGCATTCTGTTCCCTTGCAGTGCAGTTCTGACTGGGAGCAAGAACAGGGTTACCAGTAGCCATCTAGGTAACTTTTAATTTTGCATGTGCTGTCTGTATCTAGCACTGCTCAAAGATGACAGTTTGTGCCTGTTCGCTTGTTATGTGATCCTCGGTAACTTGATGTCTATATTGGCTTTCGGATAGTTGTGGTGCAGGCTTTTAGAAGTTTTTAAAAGTCTTATAAGTCCCTACGTCTCCAGTGTCTGAGAGAAAGCATTGCTAACCTAATTAGGAAATGTGAAACCTTTTTGCAAAGCTTTTAGAGGAACTAACTGGGATTACAGACTAATTTGTTTAGAAGGAGAGTCTCAGCAATGGAGGTGGTGAGCTACTGCGTAGTGGGGGGGAAACTAATAATGTTTTGAACCCACTGTTCTCTCTTTGAACCACTTCATGTGTGGGACAAGATTTTGAGTTCAGTCTTGCTCTTAGTAAAGGAAGAGTGACCTTTATGAGGCAATAGAAGAAAAATGAAGACCTTAAAATGACTGGGGGAAAATTCTCTTCAAATACAGAGCTGATGCTGAAAAGGAAGTTCAAACAAATGTCACTGCTAAAACTAGATAGTATAAATTCTTTCCACCTTCCCTCCCAGTGCCTGACCTCAGGGGGCAATGTGGATGTTTGTGGGAGGAAGTGAACTGAGGGAATTCTAGATAGATGTACAGGATGTTGTTGTGGGTTTTCTTTTTGTTTGGGTTGTTTTGTGTGAGTGTGTTTTGGTGTGGGTGGTTTTTTAATTTTTTTTTATTATTATTTTTATTTTTTTAAAAAAATCATGAGGATGGTCGGCACTGGAACAGAGACCCAAAGAGACTGTGGACTCTGTTCCTGAAGTGAGTCAAATCTTGACTGGACAGGACTTGAACAACTTTCTCTAACAGGACTTGCTTCAAGCAGCGCAATGGACTAGAGACCCCCAGAGATCCTGTCCAACCTAATGATGATCCATCTCTTGCCTTGCCAACAGATGTTAAATGGTGCTTCATGCAAGACCTGCCTCCCTTTTCAGTGGCTTTACTTTTGTCAGCATTTGAGTCTGTAGAAGCTGGCTGGAAAACTGTGTTTACCCATAAAATATAAAAATAGAGACACCCTTTTTCCCTTAAATTAAGCTAAATATTAATGAAATAACTTGCCTAAAATTTGTGAATTGAGGTGGCAGAACTTTCATGTAGGCTTACATGCTACTCTCCACTCAAGAAACTTATTTTTGTAGTACGAAATTTTTTTTTTTTTTAATTGTTTTCTTCCTGCAGAGAAGGAAAGAGTTGCCCTGCTGTGCTGCCTTCTTGAACACTAGTATGTCGAACGCTTAGGTATGTCGAAGTCTTTAACCTCGCAGAACAATGCAACAAAGTAGTGCTATTCTCCATTTGCAGGTTTTTGACCTGAAGGGCTCCCTCCGGAATAGAAATGTTAAAACAGACACAGGCAAGGAAAGCTGTGATGTAGTCCTACTGGATGAGAACCTTCTGAAGATGGTCCGGGACAATCCTTTGTACATCCGTTCCCATTGCAAGGCTGTGCTGAGAGCTTCCATACACAGTGATTCCCAGTTCCTCTCCAGCCACCTCATCATCGACTATTCCCTGCTGGTGGGTCGTGATGATACGAACAATGAGCTGGTTGTTGGGATCATTGGTAGGTTGTCTTTTGTATTTTCTTGTTTTCAGCTGGTGAAACTGCTTTCTTCTGGTTTAGGTGTTTATAGTACTCTTAAAACTGTACCACCACCAGAGAGATGTGTGTCAGGAAAACTTGTCTTCTCCCTGATGGAACACTGCCCTCACCTTTCATGGATATTCAGAGTGGAAGCAGGAGGTCTCCTCTCCAGCTTTTGTATGGGCTTGTGTGAGCATTTGCATTACTAAGAATATATGCAGGAGACCTCACAGGTAGTGAGAAAGCAGTCAAGTTGGTGTTTAACCTACACTTTGATTCCAGTTGAAGTAGAGAAGGTTATTTGTCTGCTTTTATGCTTAAGGTTAAGTTCAGTAATGTTTACATAGCCATTTAAATTTTAACTTGTGTGGAGGGGATCTAAGGAGAAACAATATTGGCAGGGATGGAAAAGGGAAGTTAAAATGTCACGGGATCACTTGTGATCATGTAGTCTGACCTGGATAAATGGGTGGCAATTACCTTACCACATCCTCTGACTTGTGACTGGAAAGTAGAGCCTCATCTTTAGACAGGCAAACTTGTATTGTGCAAAAGACTTGGAGATGAAGCCGTTTTACAGGATGTGGAAGTGACTCTTGGAAATGAGATGCTCTTGAAATCTAGCTCAGGAATGCATCCAGATGAGATCTCAAGTCTGAATTACTCTTTTTCTGCTAAAGCTTGAGAACCATTCCAATAACACTTCTAGTTGAGAACTGAAGTCCCAGCTACAAAGAACTGTAAGTTCTTATTCCTTTCTGGTTTTGTAGACTCCTGAATATTTGGGTAAATGGGGTGAGACTGCTCCTTCTGTACATGTGGCTTTTTGCTGCCCTATGGAAAGTCTTACCTGATTAAAGTGTATATTTTATATGCTGTTTAAAGATAACAGTTCCTTCACTATGGTGGGAGCAGCTGTTAATGATCTGAAGGAGCTTGTTTGACATAAATATCTTCAAGAGAGAACATGCCTGCTCTATCAGGATATCGCAATGTTCTCTAAATTATACCCTTAGAATTTACAAAGTACTCAAACTAAATTTGTGGTGGGGACAGAACTGAAAAGAGTATTCAGATAAATGGGTCTTAAGATTGGCAGCTCTGAATGAGTTCTGTGTAAAGCACAGCTGAGGTGAAACATGTGGATACTAATGGTGGCCTTTTGTAAAGCTAGAAACAGTAAATTAAAAATTGTATAATTATCTCCTAACATTTGACTACAACTATAATGATATCCAGTAATGAAAAACTTAACTTACTGCAGCTTCAGCTTTGCAGACCAAAATGTTCATGTGCTTGTAATGACTGAGTCTGCTGTCTCTGAAAGGGGCTTGGAAACAGTTCTGAAGTCTTGTCCTTGCAGCCCCCTCTTCCAGTCAGGGTCATTGATGGTGTTTGCAGTCCTCCATATCATGAAGTGAAAAGTGTTTGCTTTCTGTTATCAAACCTGTAGGTGGCTGCAACGATGAGGAATACTACTGGAGTAAGTGGATAGGTGTCCAAGTCTTGATGCTGCTAGCTGTTGCAGTAAAGTAGTGGGAGCTGTTACGGTGAAGTAGGGCTTCTTGATATGTGTCTGGGATGACGATCAGCTAAGTGACTCTTGTAAACGAGCCCTTGAAATTCTAGCATGGATAAAGACAGACATGCCTGGACAGTCTATTTTTGTAGGCAGGAAGAGTTGATTGTGATCTTACTGGGCTTTTGAGGTATCATATTCACCCTACCCAAATATAATCAATACTCCAGAAAGCGAGGCAGCTGGTAGGGGGTACACTGGAGTTCTTCTGGCTATGAGAGCCTACTGCTTTCTTGCCCTTTTTGAGGGGAAATAGATACATTTTTAGAGCAGTGTTACGTGGGTTATAGCAGATATGAGATGTTTGTGTATGGATTTTTTTTTTTTTTTAATTGCAACAGACTACATCCGCACTTTTACCTGGGACAAAAAGCTTGAAATGGTGGTGAAGTCAACTGGCATCTTGGGAGGACAAGGTAAGTCCTGAATGAACGCAAAACTTTTGATCATGTTTCCTCATTACCTGGAAGCTTCCAATAACTGCTAATAAAGCCACAACTTCCCCACCATGCAGATTTGCAAGAGATTAAGTTGCCTAGAACAGGGAAAGGAATAACAAGTTTCAGAAAAATTAATACATTGATCTGCCTCCGTGAGTGACCCTTTAAGTGTGTATATATAAAATTCCTGGGAATGGGGTAAAGGTCACCTACTTATCAGACTGTTCTCTTCTGTTTCTTAGTTACCAGCTACTCACATACAAACTTAGTCATCCATACAGAGATAAAAAACCTTGCTGCCTGGTTTCAGAAGATGTTTTCCGAGTTCAGAAAATCAGATATACTCTGAGCTGTTAGTGGGGAGGAATCCTTATCAAATGATTGACTACTACCCTTATTTTGAGGAGCTGAGAAGTTCCCTTTTTGGAAGTGAGTAGAGTACCTTTTGTGCAGCATTGCCTAGAGTTGGCCACATGTTAGTAGGAGGGCTGAAAAGAGCCGGGAAGGGGAACACTTGATGTACCGCTGCTCAGGTGTGTGGAGAAGATAGGAACATGTCCATAGAGTGAAATTCTTCATGGGAGAAATTTGCATCTCTGCTGGAAAACCTGGAAGACCTGTAAACAGGAGAAGAGAAAAAGAAACAAACTGATCAGGGCTGATGTAAAAAGCCTAGACGGTCCCTCCAACTTCAGGTATCTCAATTCAGTGTTAGGGGTCCAAACGTTGATCTGTCTTCTCTCCCAAATGTTTAAAATGAAAATAAAAATTAAAAAACCAACCAACGAACCAAAAAAAACCCCATAAAGGCAGCTAATAATGCTTGTTGGTTCCAAGACCCTTGAATGTACAGTATGCCTTCATGATTATGCTGTCTCATGGTGTAATCTCATGTGACATTTGTCTGTACTGCAGTATGCTCTTTACCCCATTTCTAACTGCTCTTGACTCTTACACATTAGGTAAGATGCCAACTGTGGTCTCTCCAGAACTGTACCGCACCAGGTTTTGTGAAGCTATGGACAAGTACTTCCTGATGGTGCCAGACCATTGGACAGGACTGGGCCTGAATTGCTAAGCTAAAGCCCATATTGGGAAAGCACAAGAGAACAATGACATTATAGGCCACTCTCTTCCTGCAGCCTGTCCAGAAGTAAGCAAGAGGATTGCAGTTCCATGTCTACACTGACCATGTGCATCACATTGTGAAGTGTGAAATCTGCTTGTTGCACTTTAATCCTCTCTTGGAGGCTGATAAGCGAGCCTGCCTTGCTAAGGATCTAAGCTGTAAGGTACCAGTGAACAGCACTGATAAGAGACATTCCCTCTGTCAGTAGAGAAGGTGATGCTGTCTCCATGTAAGAGCACTGAAGCAGATTCTATCCAGTTCATGATGGTGTAAAAGTACATGATCTTTGTAAATTTTGCACTGTCTAAGTGGTGTTGAATATGAGCAGCTCATGTTTCTGTAGTGGATGTGTGGTACTGCAAATGCGAAATAACTCCCCCCTCCCCTCCTGTGTATGAGTGTGTGTATGGGTGAGAGAAGAATTAAGTTAATTCTCGAGTTGTGCTGTTGTTGCAGTGGTCTGTAGTTGACCTGTTTTGGATCCATGAATAACTTGTCCTCCTTTTGCTCTGCAGCTTCAATTTTTCCTGGGTTCTGTAAGCAGTTGTGGGGGTTTTGTGGTGTGTGTTTTGGTTTTGTTTTGTTTGTGTGTGTTTTTTTTTTTTCTTAAGGCAGCTCCACAGCTATAATGCCATATCACTACATATTTTAAGTTATATTACTGCAGTATACCTCTGTCTTCATCTGTCATAATTTCATTTTAGCTGAATCCCATAAAAATGGGTTGTCAGTCAGCAGCATACTGCAAAATCTAAAACATATCCCTTCAATCCTAAACAGTACTTTGATCTAAATGTTGCCCAAATCCCTGGGAACAGGTAACTAAAAAATATAACCTTTAATTTAACAAGACTTGATTAATTATAGTGATGAAGCTGACTAACCCTTTCCTTAGCAGAAGGAACTAAGTTGCTAGACAAAATGAAGCATACTGCCTTAGAGTGACAACTTTCTCCTTAATGAAACCATCGTTCCTGGCAGATCACTTCAAATCCATTTCAGTTCCCCAGGACTTTCAAACAATGCATTTACCTCATAGTGAAACCTTGCCAGGAGAATGTTTTTCTTGTCTTGATGACATGCTGATGAGAGTGAGCATCCAGATCTCATCACACTGTGCATTCCCAATGGAAAAACTGTCTCTTCAGCAGTATTAATTTTTTTTTTGCACCACTGAGATGAATCTAGCCATCTTTTTCTGTAAAAAGAAAAACCTGAACTAACAGATATCTTGTATGATGGATAAGATGTGCAGAGATCTGTGAATCTCTGTTATGACAATACATACTTCTTTCCATTTTTATTAATTTTTACCTGTTTTTGTAGGTGATGAGTTTACTTTTTAGATTCATTATAATATAGGCCAGTAAATAAAAGGGGGTTTTATGAGTTTGACAGGCAAGAATACTGTCCTTTGACTTCCAGTCTCTGGTGGAAGGACTTCAAACAAACATGGAGTCTGGGACAGTACAGCTCTTTATGACCACTTGCTTGTTCTGACCAGTTGCCTGATAATGCCATCTTCACTGTAGCTATGGATTGAAATGTGCACTTTGTTGACTCCTCCGGTGTTCAGTATTTTCTTCTGCAGCAGATGGTGGTGGTTCTGTTCAGGAGTGACAGCTGGGCAGCACTGAGAAAGGAAAATGCCAGCAGTGAGAATTGAACTGGTGGCTCCAAAAAGAACCAGTGCAGCTCAGGTCTGAGCTGCCAGGAGGCAACAGTCATTTGTGTTGGAAGAAGTCTTCCCCACCCCATTGCAAAACCCTGCTGGAGGATGAGTAAAGATGCTTACCTTGAAGCAACAGAAATGAAAGTATTCTCACTTCCTCTGTACAATGTAATCGTTGTTTCCAGGGGTGCAGTGTTGAAGACTGCAGTGATGTGTGCTGTGGAAAGATGACATGGTACTTCTTGCTTCCTCTGGCCCAGAATCCCTTTGGTCCAACACAGTGCATCAGGTACAGCTGACCACCTCTGGGACACATCTTGCCTCCTGTGTTGAAATGTACTCCAAGGATGGCTAGTTGTGTGAGGGGCCTTGTGTAATGAGGAACCAACCAGTCCATCAGCTCAGTGCTACTCTCACTTCTGTGGCTTCTACCTGTCTTGGTCCATCGATGTGAAAGAGCATGCCATGCAGCCTTGAATCTGTTCCAGTCTCGGTTAAAGTTTACATGTGTTCTTCCTCCTTCCCCTCTTAAAGTTTACAGGGAAAAAAGCTTGCCTGACCAGCTAAGGTGACTCGACAGCAGCTGGTTATGTTAACTTCCACTGTTGTCAATGGATTGGTTGGTGCAGCATGAATACGGGCAGTGTTGTGGCATCTGCACTAGGCTAATGTAGAGCTGCAAAGTGCTAGCCCTGTCCTGTCACCAGTAACTCTTACTCCAGTGATGTGTGGCTGCTCTATACTGCTGCTCTTCTAGAGTCCCAAGCAGCTGGCTCTAAAGCAGCATGATCATCTGACTGTAGCTAATGTTCGCCTGTACGTGACAGCATGAGGCCCTCAGCATTGTAGAAGTGTGAGCAGCTTTCACTGGCCAGATGTCTTGCCACCTGTGAACAGAGAGCCCAGACATGTGAATTGTGACCTTCTTGGGCTGAAGTTTTAGCAGTTGGAGAGATTTCCAGGAGTGATCTTGAGATGGCATCAACAGCTAACTTTGGGTCAGGATGTGGCTGAGTCCTGACCAGACTGGAGTAAATAGCAAACTACTAGTCATGGGTGACACAATAGCTGCAGTATAAACTGGAATTGGGACATGTTTGGGTGCCACATGACATAAAGCTGTAAGCATTTCTAGTTCAGTTCCCAGCAGCTGAACAGGTCTCCTCAAACATTCCCTTTTTAGAAAAAGAGTTGTCTTGGCATTTCGCTTGCTACAAAGCTGACTTTCACAAAAGGAGAGCAGTAGTTCATGCAGAAGAGATCTTTGAGAGAGCTCCCTGTGAGGCTGTGTTAGGTCTGTGTCTCTGCAGCATGCCTAAGGATGTCTTAGGGGAACAGCCTAGGTATTACATGAGCCCTTTGATTAGAGTTTGTTATTTCTTTATAACACAGGTTTACCATGTATGTGTGTAAGCAAATCCCAGTTGCAAACATGAAGATTGTTTCTTCAGAGCTACACTGGCTCTTCTGTTATTTTGATCTGGGGCCTTGTGACAAATGTCTAAATCTTGTCCCAGTCAGAAGTGATGACGTGCTTTGAGTCATTGTGTACAGCAGAATGCCTTGTAGTGGCCCAGCAAAGCATTCTGTCCCCTAAAAGTTCATGAGGGACTCTTGCTGGTTAAGTAGCTCTGCTGGGCTCAGGGGAGTTACCTGCGGAGTGGACTCTCTTCTGTGAGAATGACCAAACCCAAACAAATCGCTTACTAGGAGGTGGCCAGACTAGTTATTATTCAAAGCACTCAATGTACCATAATGTATGTATTTCTAACCTACCTTGGTTCAGCTGTATTTTGTAAAATTGATGTACTAAACTATTTGAGAATAACTGCCTTGACTACTTGGAGAATCAAAATGTAATGTATATAGATACAAATAAAGTGACTAAACTATACTTGAGTCTGTTCCATGTGGTGGAGCAATTAGGTCTCATAGCATCCCGTTTTCTTGATCAAAGGCTAAGCCCTCTACTTGCTCTGCAGCAATTGCCCTGTTGGAGGCTGCCAGCTTTGCATGCAGTGTAAGCATGCCTGTCATGTCTCTATACCTTGCATCTCGTCTCTTCTAATGGAGCAGGACCTCTGGGCAGCCCTGCAGGTCAGTGGCAGTAGAATGCGCAAATAACCTTTCATCTACTTCTCCCACCTTCTCCCCAGCTGCTTTTCAACACACAGTGCTGTGTGAGACAGGGAGCCAGCTTTGTCCAGTAGATAGTGGTGGTGCCATGGCTCATTTCTGCCAAGAGGTAGAACACATTCCTCAGGAAAAACCTCCAGGTATTTCCATAGCCTTCTCTTAAGTGGGCTAGATAAAGAAAAAAATCCAAGGAGGTCTGAAAATTAATAGCATAATCTTAATTGCTTCATATTAATGTGGAATATACTAACCTCTTCTCTTAAAGCTAGAAATGATGTATGATTAGTTCTGGGAAGGCGACCTGTTGGTACCTAGAATATAAAACTCAGAATTGAAAACTTAAGGATTTTTTTCCTGTGTTATGTGCCATTGCCACGTTTGCCAGGTGAGCTTGAGTGCTTCTATCTGCTGCAATGTGAAACTGCATCAGAAGCTATTCCACCATGGGGGTGTGAGCAAGGCAAAAGGTGAACTACTCAATTCAGGGGCAGAGCTGCATTATGCTGGTCTAAGGTTGAGAGGTGGGACATGGGCTTCTAGCACAAAGTTGAAAAGCACAAACGCAGGGTTATCAGAACAGCGTTCCTCTAATACTTGCAAGTGGGATTGCCAACACCTAGTAAAGGACAAGAGTTTGTGCTCTAAGTGAAACTTCTTTTGGTCAGTACTGAAGTCATCAGTATTAGAAAATGAAGTAGTAATTGAATGTGTGTTCTGTTGATCCATCCTTGTAAGTGATGGTATGAGACATTGGTCAATTTCCCCACTACCACTTTGATTTAGACAATACTGCTATTTTTTTAAAAAAAAAAAAAAAAGGAAGGAAAAAAGAAAAAGTTGGGGTTTACCATCTCAGACTATGCTATAATATCTCAATTGGTGTCCTATTGCGAAGATACACAAGCAACAAGGAGTACTTCAGTTTTAGTGTGGAGGTTTTAAGTCAGTGCAGATACAGAGTAACTTTGCACAGTATTTGTGAAAAGCCAGGCCATCCCTCATTTCTCCCTGTTTTCAGAGGACAGAACTGGAAATCTGGTCACACTAGAGATTCAAGATCTAGCTGTGCTAGTCACTGATACTAGGCTAGTATTGCCACTAAGGTGCTAAAGTAATAATGAAACAGGAACCTAGGGTCTCCAAGCTTCTGCTGTGGAGCCTTGGTTCATTGTCAGATCTCTGTAAGGAACAAAGAGAACCACAAAAATGAAGCCTTTTTTTTTTTTTTTTTTTTTTTTTTTTTTTTTGTGAGAGGGGGTTTGTCTGTGTTTTTAAATGTGTACCTGTAAGCGGAGCCTGCTTCTCGAAAGATGAAGGATGACAGAAACAGGTAAGAAGAGCGGGCTGGGGGCTTCTTTGGTAATCCAGCAGAGTCAGGATGAGCCCCAATGTGTGCGTCTTGTTACAATGCTTTGTTCTCCAGCCCGTGCTGCCTCTCATGGCGTGAAAGTCCTACACCAAGTGATGTGTGTGAGGGGAGAAAGCAATGTTTAGTTTGAATGATGAGAACCAATGCCAAAATATCCCTGGTTATGACTTATTATCATCCTACATACTCAGTCTAAGCTTTGCAGAGCTCCAAGCAAGCTAGTTTCTTGCGCACCATAAAGCCAGCGTTCTTGAGTGTTTCCAAAGGCACAAGGTTGTCATCCTACAAAGCCATGCATATTCACACAGCTTGTGCTAGTTACAGAGGT